CGCTGGTGGTGCAAGTTCTGCGGTTGCGTCCAATGGTCGCTTGGACGCAGGTGTTCTTGTGCTAGCTTCAGCTCCGGTCTCATGTAAGGCTTGATCAATCAGCTGAGGAACAACTTCTCTCATAATTTCAACAAAATCATCCTCATGCATGGCAGGTGGTCTAAACAGTGCTCGTTCGTCGGACTTGCCATGGACTCGATGCCTAATGGGACCGTAAGAGGAGCTTGGCACTTCAGACACGTTGGACGGCTCGGAAGAGCCAGGCATGAGATCAGCACCACTGGGCAAGGGACTAGGCGCAGAAACTTCGCTCTGCTCTGTGCTTGTTCCATGGCTGGACTGTACATCAGGCGCTGCAGGTGCGACATACGGCGATTCATCTCTTATGGATGGCTGCATTGGTTCGACTGACATTGGAACTGCTTGACTAGGCTCTGAGGACTCGACTTCTGACTGCATGGGGAACCCTGCAACAGCTACGGTGGGAGGATATCTACCTGGAACTAAATCCACATATTGTTGGCCCTTAAAAGTGCCTCCCTCGATCAAGTCCTTGATGCCGAGCAGTTCAGCTTCAGGAGTCTGAACCAAGGTTTTCTCTTCCGTGGTGGCTGCTCGCAATTGTTCTGGAGCACAACGGAGAACCTGTCGCCTATGAGCGATGATGTAGTTACGACCAACCTTCCCAATAACCATTGCGGTGCCATGCCATTGACCGCCCTGTATGACAGTTCCCTGAGACTGAGAATACTTTTGTTCCCTCCAGTATGCAACCAGCTCTCCAGCAGCAAACTCCACGGTCACACGAGGTCTTGCAAGTAAGGCTTGTCTCAAGGCCTTATCGTCTTGCAACTCCATCACGGCTTTTCGGGCTGACGTCCGAATTGACTGGGCTTGCTCAATGGCCTCATTTGTGAGACCGGCGGTTGCTGGCACTATATGCAACGGCTCGTTCAACAAATCACCTGGAAAAGTAGGATTGCGACCAAAAACAAATTGATGAGGAGTATATCCATAATTCTGAATCAATTGGTTCTTGACATGAGCTTGTCGAACACACATCTCCCAGGTCTCTTTGTTTGTAGGAACTTGTTCTTGAATGACCTTGTCCAGCACCCTACCGAACCAGCCACCGTGACTCTCTGTGCGACCTAACTGCCAATGTGCCTCAGCAGCGATGAGTTTGGTCACGGAACCGTCAGCTTCGAACAAGGATTGCAGTCCTTCACCTAACATAGTAGGAGCTGGATCCATCACAACAGTTTCTGGAGGTCCAGCCCATCTAATCCAATGTTCTTCAATGATATTGCGTAGTACTGCTGATGTTTCTCTTTCATGGAAAGGAACCATGATTTGAAAACATGACGCTTGATCCACAATGTTAACAGCCTTGATCTTTTGACCTTGTTTCCAACCAGACAAATACTTCACATCGATGCCAATGCACTGATTGAACCTCGTATGGCGTCCAGTTTTTGCTGGAAGCGGAACATGTGGACGAGCCTGAGCTCTGCAAAAATCACAAGTCAGAGTGCGAGCAATCTCCAACGCCTTGTCACTTGCACCTCCATGCTTCAACACACGTACCAAATCAGAAGTTGAAGGATGACCCAAATTCTTATGGACCTTGGTGAGTGCTTTCCGAACTGTCTCATCATCGGGGGAGTGCAAGTCTTGCTTGGCAGACACTAACACCTCGCACTCATGAATCTCCGTGGCATCGGCCAGCTGTACCAGCTGTTGTTTGGCTGACTTCTCAAAAACTGGCACGGTTTTCAACACGGCATCCACAAAACTCGGCGTATATTGGCCAGCAAAAGTACTGACCCTGCCAATACTGGGTGCTGACCCAGCGATGACATCATGACATGTGTGGTCAGGATGTGACTTCCCTGGGCAACATCTACCAAGACTCTGCATATCGGCATGGGACACCAACAAGCCGGTGCTTTTGCGGATAAGATTTTGGTGCTTTGGAAGTCGCAATCCATACATGCACATGTGGCACTTGCACCAAAAATGCTTGCGCAGCAGGGCTTGCATCTCAGCATAGGACCAAGTTCGGGCACCAGATGGATGTTCGAAAATGGCACGTTTCCCCAATTCCACCTGTTGTTGAAATAGCTGACAACAAAAACGGATGTACATCCTACTTTCCAAACGCTTCTTCAGGGCTTCAGCGGGGGACAAATACCGTTCATTCAGATTGTGCCAACCACCTTCATGAGTACATGGAGGGCTCAACACAAGTAGTTCAGGGGGTTTGTCACGCAACAATTTGGCTACATAATCTCGGTCTTCCTTCTTGCGAAAATCATATCCATTCTGAAGATCAAAAGAAAACGCAGCAAATCCAAGCTCCTTGGCGGCTGGTGCAAACCTAGGTGGACTAAACACTTCGGCCACTAAGAGTCGATTGCCCTGATGGAAGGCAGTCTTGGACAGGGCTTTCACTTGGGCCTTCAGTTGCCGTTGCTGGTGAACCGACAGGCATTCAGTTGGGCATGATTTCTCCTGAGGCCGGAACCACAAGTCAGTGCGAAAACGCATGGTGTGCTTGGGGACTGGTGTCATGTAGTGTCTCTTATCTTTAGTGGGGTCAATTTCTTGGTCCAGGACTATCCTATTGGTGTCTAAGTCAGTGACTACTCTACGATGAACCTGATGCCAATATGGACCCTGCTTACCACTTAGGGGAACCCACTTCAGATTATGATCAACACGGGACCAGACACAAGGTGACCGATTCTCCAGTCCTGTCTCCACAGCTGTGGAGGGCATCTCAACGGAACATGATTGGGGATCAACTGCCACGGATGCATCATTGTGGCAACCCTCAGCACTATCTGGCAGTGGATTGGCTGCGACGGTGACTGACACACTTGGTTCGGACAGCATGACTTCTTCAAACCTGCCATCATCACCAACCGAAGACTCCAAAAGTTGAAGCACATACTGACCAGCGGCATTTGTCCCGAGGGGAACTTTCAGCTCATCCTCAAAAACACAGAGTTCGTTGCGGGAAAAATCAATCTTGGCATGCAGGGACTGAAGAGCCTTCCTAGAAATCAACAGGGGTGCCTTTCCTTGCACCAGAGAAGCACGAATAGTGCCAGACCTACCAGCAATGACCACCGGGATCTTCACAGCTTCACTTGAAGTCTCACGAGCACCATTTCCAAAACGAAAATGACTGACTTCAGAAAAGGCTACTGGTGGCTCGACCTGTTGTTTCTTCCAGATCTGTTTGAACTCCTCAAAGGTGTCCCTCCCAATGATTGACTTTCCACACCCAGAATCCAGAATACCATATCCTGGACTGGACACTAACAGCTGCTCATGCACATTCGATGGTGAGCTCCTCTGGAGACGACACATGACCTCATTGTACAACCCAGCAAACTCAGAACCATTGGGGATTGTTGTAACTGCAGCCACAAAGTGTTCGACTACAGCCGCTCCCGCATCATCCTTGTTGCTCCCTTTTCCACTTGAGGAAGAGGTGCCCTTCCCAGAGCCCTTTGGTCGGGGACATTCCCTCGACCAATGACCGATCTGATTGCACCTGTGACAACGTGTCTTCTTCTTCAATTCCTGGACTTCGATCTTGAACTGCCGTTTCATTCGGGAAGCATCATGAAACTTCCTGGCTTTTTGGAGACGATTGAGATCCTGACGACGTTCTCGCCAGGTAACAGCAAGAGCCTCAGCGACATCGGCCTCTTCAAAGGTATCAGAATCATCCATTTGTTGATGTTCAGCTAAAAACTGTTCCACATCATCAAAAACTGAGCCTTCGTCACCCACTTCTGTCAGATCCAGATCATCTTCATCGACGATCCCAGCACCAAAGGCACGACGTTTTGGGCAGCTAAATTCGGGATAGCAGCTCCTCATGGCTTTGCCGATCTCTTCACGTTTCAACACTCCCAAAGACCTAGCCAGAACTACAGCCTGTTGTTCGCTTGTAAGACCAGCACGATGGAGGATGACCCATCCACGAGCCTCTTCCGGAAAGCTTACACTGGTTTTCCTCTGTAGTTTGTCAAAGGCTTCAGAGGCCCTACTGATCCAGGCTTTGAGCGACTCCCCCTCATTGGCACGCAAATTGCAAATGTCAGTCAGATTCTCTGACATCTCATCTGAGGCGTCCTTTTCGGGGAAACGCTTTGACAGCAGATCTAAGATGACCTCGTCGCCACCTTCTTTCTGAAACGAAGATGCATCCAAGTGTTCAACAGCTTCAAGGGCTTTTCCAGCTAGAAGAGTGTAAATGAATGCACCCTTGGCTTCATCTGGCATCTTCGACGACAATGTCAGCAGCTTGCTGCTAACCCAGGCTTTCCATCTGCGAAATTCCTTCGGATCTTCGTCATTCCCAGTGAAGATACGATGACCTCCAAGGTCACTTGAACTTCCATCCGATGCCATGGCAGCGGGTACCTACCCGGAGCCAGGGTTTGTACCTGGCTCCGCTACCAATGACAAAACACTCACCAGAGATTCGCCCCCCAGGGCATGAGACGGACCTTTTCCTCCCTGAGCCGGAAAGTGTCTTCCATGGCCGCCAAGTGAAGACATGCGGAAGTGACCACTGGATGCATGCAGATGGAAACTGGCTTCAACACATATATATATATAATTAAATATATATATATAATTAATTAAATATATATATATATATAATTAAATATATATATATTGTGTGTGTGCATACATAATATACATATATACATATATGTGATTTTGTGATGTTTTGTGAAGTGACTTGGTTGGGATGAGTTGAGTTCAGTGGGTTGGGTTCCGTGGGTTGGGGGAGCGGGGAGGATTGAGGTGCTGGTGGGGGTGTTCGTGTCAAAAGTCACGCGTTTTGGCATTTGGTCCTTGTAAAGCAAGAAGAACATACCGCTGGATTGCATGGCTGGCTTACAGTGGAAGAGTAAGGAAAAGTCGTCTGTAAAAAATGCTGCAGGCAACACATGATATCACAGACAAGTTGCCACTGGACAAATCTGTTGAGGGAGTCGTACTCCAAAATGAGACGGAAATTGCAAAGCTGTCCTTAGCACGACAGGAGAGTGGTGGCAAAATGGAACAACACCCAAACAAATCGAAACAAATTGAAACGAATGAAACAAACAAAACTTCGGGAATGTCACGCAAACAGCTGCTCGAAGGCTGGTCAGGTCTGCGGGAACTGTCAGCTTCTTGAAACGTCAGCCTCTTGCGACTGCAAACTCTTGCACTACCAAAGCCGCCAAGACTCGAGGTTACGAAGCCAGTGCCACCATCCGTAGGGCCTTGGAGTGGGCAATGATGGCCATGAGCAAGGAGAAGGCGATACCGAAGATACCCCAACACTTCCGGTGCTATCGCAAGCAAGCTGCAGGTAGAGGAGGTCACCAGCCTTGAAGAACATTCAAATTCGAACGAATTCAAAGCCTTTGTCGCAGCAGCGCAGTCCTGTCCTTCAATGTGGCATAATGCCCAACTGCATCCTTGAATTTGGGAAAGGCCGTCAAGTCAACCTCCACAGGGCTACCCACCATAGACCTATCGGCTCTCACCATGCAATTCAAACAAACTGTGCAACGTGATGCAACGTGATGCAACGTGATGCAACGTGATGCAACGTGATGCAACGTGATGCAACGTGATGCAACGTGATGCAACGTGATGCAACGTGATGCAACGTGCAGGTACGTTGTGCAGGTACATTGTGCAGGTACATTGTGCAGGTACGTTGTGCAGGTACGTTGTGCAGGTACGTGGTGCAAGCACGTGGTGCAGGCACGTGGTGCAGGTACGTGCAGGTATCGACGGGTCCGTCAAGAAAAATCAAATAAATCAAGGCAGGGCACTGGCGGTCGCACGGGTGAGTGGTCGGAAAGGGGTAAAGCCGCACATAGTCCACGAAGGGATAGACAACAATCTCCTTCAGCCCTCTGACCTGACTGGCCATGTTGATAAAGAAAAATGCACCACGACAACTTCAACAAGCACCGCAACAAGCAGCACAACAAGCACCACAACAAGCACTATACATACCAGGACCAATCAAAAGGATCCGAAAAACATCTACAAACAGCACCTGAAAAAAAAGGTTCTCCCTCTCATCAAAGTGAAGCGGTGTCTCCGCTCCTTTCATGCCAATAAAAAGTTCCTTGGTTGAGATCTGCTGGAGTAGCATCTGAACCCTCAGGGTCTCCTTGTCTAGCAAGTGTACAGCGACATCATCCCCAGCACAGCACATCTGGGCTTTGCGTAGCTTTACTGCATAACTATGTTACTGTACAAAGTCGGAGTTGCAAAGCTGAGATAGCGTCATTTGAGTCTGGCAAGCCCCACCCGCAGGCCGCACTGATGCGAATGGGCAATTCCCATTTCCAAGATGCAAACTCCTTCACATTGAAGGCGCAATCCGCGAGGAAAGTGAGGCAGCATGACAACGCCCATATTATATAAGAGAATATTGAAGTATATTGAAGTATGCATTTTGAGCGCATGCTCTCCGTTGTGATTTGACGGCTTGGCTTAGCTTCCACGGTCAAGGCGCTCAACCCGTCTAGTCCTCTGCCATCTGGCTATGGCCGGATAGAGTCTCTTGCATGTACATGCGAGCACTTGAGCCTACCAGGGGTCTACCAGCCACTTTTTCATGAAAATATGCCGCAGCTCGGCTATATTCTTGAGGACAGCAGGCCTTTGGCATCAATCTCTTGTGCTTGCCGGGTGAACTCACTGAAGGTCTCCTGACTGGTGAGAAAAAAAAAGAATGGAAACAGCTTGAAACAGTGACCGGAATGTGCACATGTAATTTGCCAAAGCCACTGTGGCACAAACACGGGAAAGTGCAATTGCCATTGCACACAAACTGCATCAAGTGGAATCCTTGCTTCACTATGGCAAAGCGGCACAATGCTTACGGACTTGCCTGCACCTCCGCGACAGGTTTCCTGACATCACTGTTCTCACAAGCTTTGCCGTGCTGAGGTTCTGGAAAGACAAGTAGACACCACCACACGACATCACACACTATCACACACCTACGTTTTCTGGGCTCTGTCGTTGTCGGTTGCGGTGGCATACAAGGGAGCTTGATTTTTTGATTTTTCAACGCATTGAAACGTAAACAGGGGCTGATCGACCTGAATCCACAGCGGACTTACAGCAGCATGCTTTGACCGGCAAATCGACGACAAGGCTCCAACCGCCAGCCATGGATTCTGTACTGTGAAATATTCCCAGAGTGAGAAAAAAGTGAGGACAGAATCGCAAATCCACAGATCCGGCATTGCTGACAGGTGGCTGAAAGTCAAAGTTTCCGGAGTTCTTTTTGATGTCAAAATATCCTCAGATTTTTAGCTTTGGCAACAAAGGATGCGCCCATCTCATCATGAAAGCAGAGCGGCTGAATTTCGAATTCGAGGACTTCTTTACCAGCACCTGCCGGCCCAACAGCTCAAGATTCAAAGATATTCAAAGCAACCATCTTTCAAAGCATGTCTTTGCTGGATATCAGGGGAATGCGCTTTTGTCATCTCAAAGAACCCCCCTAGATGCGCATAAGGGTGGTGAGCATAGTGAGAAATATCTAACCTGTTGAAGTCTGCCTCACCGTTCAATGCTCAAAAGCTCTGGGGAAAAAAAACATATTCTGGGGAATTCATACTGCAAATTCAACAAACACTGCAGTTCCTCCGTCTAAAGCCACTGCACAGTATGTTTGTAACATTTTGTCTGCTCTCGCATGTGCCACTTTCCAACATCTGTGAATTCCAGATCTGGCCTTTTTGTCTTCAAAGAGGCTACTGGCATAAGACAGGGATTGCCACTTTTCAACCTGTCACGGACGTGTCATGGGTTTCAGCTTCAAGACACACCTATGTTGTGATCTTATGCACCAAAACAAAGAAAACTGCAAAAGTACAACTCTTCGCCTCTATAAGATCAGATCCCTCTATGATCAGGGGCATCCCAACTTCGGATTGCGGCTTCATGACGTCCAACACCTGACACTATGCTGCCCAGCATTGCCAGCTACCCACACTGTCCATATTTGTTCAAACCCAGCCAAGGACTATATACTCTTTAACAACTTCAGCTGGTGTGCCTCTTCCACTGTTGTAAAGCGAATCCTCCTTGCATGGCAACACGGATCGATGCTACTTGAGAGCTAATGAGGCAGCACACCTTGGAGTCCAGTTTTCTGTTTTGCATGCGGCAAGTGACACACAAACACTAGTGCCAAAATTGTTTCACCAATAACGACCATGTATGCATAAACATTCGCAGGTACAAACATACAAGGATACAAACAAGCATACATTGCATTGTTTTGCATTGCATTACATTACGTTCAACAGGTGACTGGGCGACAACAGTGCAGCAGGTTCGCAGAAAGCACGCACGCACGGGCCTGGGTGGGACACGGCGCATGCAAGTTCTATGTAGATGAAAAAGGTCTTATAGTACAACCCTGAGGCAACTTCCGCCCCGCCTCGTGCGGGTACTACTGGTATGTATTACATACATTACATTGCTGAACATGAACATGAACATTTACATTTGCACTACATTACATGCATTGTATGGACTAATTCCATGCATTACATACATTACATGCATTCCATTACATTCCATCCCATTCCATTACATGGCATTAAATACATACTTTTCCGTTTCCGGTGCATTCCATTGCACTGTTTTAAATTAGCTTAGATGAGATTGGATTTGGTTACACTAGCTTGCATTACATATGTATATATATATATATACATGTATGTATCGGTATATGATTGCATATGTATGTGCATGTACATGCAATATTCCATACAATGTACATCAATGTAAATGTATACATCAGAGTGTGAGTGTGTGTGTGTGTGCACGTCTATCTCTATGTCTATATCTCCTTCTCCATCGCCATCTGTCAAGACTGCCGGAAGGCAGTGGCGAAAACCGGCCTATATCATCCTATATCTATATCCATTTGCTTGTCTTTGAACTATTTTGAACTTCACTCGTGATTTAGTGAAACCATGTGAAACCGATCCCTCGGATCTCCTGATAGGACGATATGCTTCTGGCCAGAGGGAAGAAGGCAGCGGACCCAGTGGTTTGTGCAGCTCAGGCTGAGAATAGCCTTGTGACGTACCTTGAAATCCAAGGAGAGCGATGCTGGTGGCCTCGAGTCAAACTTGGTGCCACACTTGGCCTCATTCAAAAGCGATGGACAGCGATGGACAACGATGGACAGTGGGCCTCACCATGAGCCTTTGCTGCTGCAAGGGCCTCGGCGTAGGGATAGGAAGGGGTTGGACTAATACTACCCAAAGAGACTGTGATGAGGCTGGGACCATGAACAAAGCGCAAAGGAATGATTTTCGAGAATGAGCCCAACAAGAAATCGTGAAGAAGTATTGACTGCTTGAACTTTGACTGTGCAGTTCGAGGGCTTCAAAGTGCGAGACTCTGTTTCGTTGTCGTCTACTTCGCACTTTGGTTTAAGTCAAAAGGCGTTCACAATCACGGCGCTTGTTAGTCGTGGATGTTGCACAGTGTGACTGACGCTTTTGCAGGAATTCCGCATTGTTGCTAAAATTCAAGCTGCGGAAGACACTGTCAGGTCCCTCAAGTGCACGAAAGTGTTGCTGAAAGGAAGCTCTGTGCGCAATGAGCAACGGCACCAGCCTTTTTGTGGCTGGAGGGGCTGTAGCCGTGGGTTCTGCCCTCTGGCGACTTGTGGCCAACACTGATCCACTTTGCTAGGCTGTCGGTTGGCTTTAAGTCTGCCGCACTGCCACCATACTCAGAAGGAACATATCAACAAACCATTCCCAAAAAAGCCTGAGAAGCATCACAAGTAGGTCATGAGCCCATAACAACAGTCTCCCACTTTCCACTTGCTCTATCCGCGGACTGCAATGCAACCACGTGTGTACCGTGTGAGTGTGCGTGTGTCTGTGTGTGTGTGCTCCACCATTAATTTTTAAAGGTCCATAATATCCTGAAATGTGTCCGCAAATGTCTGCAATCGAAATCACCTCCAGGCCACTCTACAACGAACGCCAAGCTTGCTCACTTGTTCCTAAGCGCTGTGGATCCAGGGCTTTGGCAAAATACCATCAAAAACATTACAATTTAGGTTTGAGTCTGAGATGTTTGAGATTGCTTGAGTCATTGAGCGTGTTCGCACGGTCACATTCCACCGCCCACACGTATGGCAACGTCGGTTTTCGTGCATGTTCTTGTCAGAAGGAACTCTTCTTGGAAGCCATGATGCGGAGCACATTTCCTCTTTCATGGCATGCTTATGGAAAAGCAAGAGGGACAAAAGGAATGGCTCTGAATCTTTCAAAGCAACACAACATCATTCTGCTAAGGCTCTTTTTCTTGCCCCTCCCACGGCCACTGCCACTTGCAGAGGCTCCCTTGCTCCCAGTTCCTGCAACCAGCAATCAAATCAAACAGGTCAAACAGGCCATCGTATATTATAAATATTATATATATATATATATATGTGTGTGTACAAATGCTCTGATGTGGGCCAAGAGTGTCTCAAATGGCCTGTCACAACCATGTAGCCAATGCCACCGAGAACTGCAAGGATGATGACAGCGGCAATTGTACTATACCAGGATCCAGCCGCCTGCAGTGCAAACTTGCAAGTGACACCAAGTGACATGCTGAATAGCATGTTGAGGGTCTTCCATCTTGGATCAATATCAACAAAACGACCAATAGACTGACTGGCCTTCGCTTTTTTGCCCCTGGAAGGCTGTGCCGGTCCTGAAAAAGCAGAAAAGGAAAGACAGTAAAACCCAACAGTTGCAACAACTCAGTTGCGCAAAGACTTCATGGATTGCAATTGTGTGATCTGCGTGGGGAAGGAGGCCTGTCTCTGCATCTGGATCCTCGCCAGCCTTCCATTGAAACAAGCGGTGCTAAAGTTTTGGCCTGGATATTCTTCACGGGGGGCGCAAGACACTTGCCTCGATCCGTCTTTTTCGCTCCCATGCAGCCTGTTCTTTGAGGAAAGTAGAGCGGAGAGTGATGGAATCTGGGAGAGCAAAGAAGATGTTGAAACTATACCCCAAGAGGATTCAAAGCAATTGCATCACAGAACAATCGACTCAGTCTGAGGCATACTAACTATACCTATGTGCCTATGCGGCTCCCAAGTTTTTATCCTAAATCCATCCAAATACCACCTATATACAATACTTTCTTGGGTGATGTGCAGTGTAGCTACTATACAGACGGACAGACACTCAGACAGACAGGCAAACAAGCAAACATCCATGCAATAGATCTGACAAGCTCACATTGAGATACGATGAGCAGCCGAACGAAATTTGGATGAAAAAAATCGGACTGACGGACAACTGCGGCGACTTGACCAATCGCGCCAAGCATAAATAACAAAAGCTTCAACAAATTACAGGAATAAAATGGAATAATCCCTTCCTCCTATTACTAAACCCCGCCCAAATACTAAAAACTAGTGTCCATCTCCAATTTTTGAAAATTTCAGATTGACCAATTTGACTTTTAATTGATCCCCTTTAGAAAACAATTTAAAAATCGAGCTACCATTTGTGGGTTTTGCCCCCCTAATACTAAAAACTAGTTCACCCCGCATTGTTTATTTATTGGGGTCCGTCCGATTTTTTTAGTTTTTTATATTAAGGTTTTAAATTTAGTATTAGGGGGAAGCTTCGAAATCCAATTTTTGGCAATATTTTGATTGCATTATATAAAGAAATTTAATTAATTTTCAAATCAGAAAAAATAGTTTTTGTTACTAAGGGTTTTAATTTAATATTAGGGGAAAGCTTCGAAATCCAATTTTTGGCAATATTTTAATTGCGTTATAAAAATAAATTTAATTAATGTTCAAATCGGAAAAAATAGTTTTTATTATTAAGGGTTTTAATTTAATATTAGGGGGAAGCTTCGAAATCCAATTTTTGGCAATATTTTAATTGCGTTATAAAAAGAAATTTAATTGACTTTGAAATCGGAAAAAATATTTTTTATTATTAAGGGTTTTAATTTAATATTAGGGGGAAGCTTCGAAATCCAATTTTTGGCAATATTTTAATCGCGTTATATAAAGAAATTTAATTGACTTTGAAATCGGAAAAAATATTTTTTATTATTAAGGGTTTTAATCTAATATTAGGGGGAAGCTTCGAAATCCAATTTTTGGCAATATTTTAATTGCGTTATATAAAGAAATTTACGTAATTGATTTTGAAAATCGGAAAAAATAGTTTTTATTATTAAGGGTTTAATTTTATTAATAGGGTTCCCTAATAATAAATACCCCCCTAATACAAAAAACATCTAAAAACTACCTGCCGTGTTTAGTAATAGGGGGGGGTTTAGTATTAGGAGGAAGGGATTAAGCATCTCAACTGAACCGTTCCCGAGGACAACAATGCTGACGAACTCAACCACTTAGTCACTACACCAGAAGCAGCAGAACAGCAACACAATCCCCTCACGAGCTCAAACAATCTTTCTACTGAATGCACGTTGATCCGCACAGCTGGGTCAATTATATCCATGCCATATGTGTCTTGTGGCTCGGCAGGATCGAAGGGAACCTGCTCTCAGGAATCAAGGGAGCTCGGTCTTTTAAACATGTGCCAATCACGGTCGCCCCATTCAGCAGGAAAGGTCCGCATTGCGGAATGTCAAGCGTTTCGGAGTTCTCTCTTGGCCGGTTCAAAACATGTTAAGAGTCAAAATGGTATCAAATGTAAAAACTAAGTCTTAACAGTATGGAGATATATGGAAATGGTTCACTTGAGGATTGGCGACACTTGGGGTCCGCACCATGTGTTGTGGCACAGCGCAGTGTTGTCAGCTTTGCAACAGCTCCGTTGGTTCAAGCATGTTCAAGCAATCTGTTTGGTTACATCAAGTTCCATCATTCATTATGCCCATTTAATGTCCTTCATTGGCTTAATTTCATTCCAGTTCAGTGATTCGTTTATCAATTCCTTTTGTTTATGTCATGCCATTCACACATCCATCCACTCAGTCTTGAATTGGTTCACTCATTCACTCATTCAATCTTTGAATGATTTCCTCATCCATTCACCCATGCACCCATTGGTTCATCCGTTCATTTGTCGTTCAGAAATGCATCTATTTCAGTCCATCTCATTTCATCCTATCAAGTCATGTCATACTATTCATCTCATCTCAACTCGTTCATTCATCCACTCCCACATGCCGGCAATCAATCATTCCTTGCTTGCTCCCTTCCCTCCCTTCCTCCCTTGCTTCCTTCAAGCCTCATACATTGATTTACTCCTGTGTGACTCATGTGTGGCTTTGCAGCTTCATGCCATCCATCACAGAGCCACCGAGCTGGACGAAATGCGACATCACCGACAGGGCCAATACACGCTGACGCCCGAAAAAAAAATGGTGGTTAACATGCCACAAAATGAAACTTTGCCCGGGGAAGATAGGTAAGTTCGGAAGGAGTGACAAATGGCGACGTCAGAGTCACAAATTGCATTTCGAAGAGGGGCTGACGACAGCAAATCCCACATGTATGTCTTAGAAGTTGTAGCAGCGTGAAAAAGTCAAGCTGAGCACAGCATTTGATAGTGCATTGCCATGGGCATTGTGCCTTGAGAAGTCGCTCGCGCTTCTTTTGTTCAGCCGCTTGCCGCTCGTCCTCTTTCTTTTGCGCTTGCCTCATCACATTCAAAAGACAAGGCTAGGAAAGTCCAAAACTCCCCTCTCTGTGAATGTGACTTAGCTCCAAGCATGTCTGCATAAGCCTAAGCAAGGCAACGCTCAGACAAGGAGGGCAAAAAACTTGAGGCCTAGACTTTACATCCCGTCCCTACAGCGTCCCAACAGGCCGTGTTTGGAACACTTCGCCATACTTCGCCTCAGGATTCTCTTCCTTGAACTTCTCTAGCTCCCGTCTCTCCTTCTCCTCAACGAACCAATGACTCAGCGGACTCAGTGGTTCTGTAGCTGTGGCTCTTTCAAAAGTTCACAAAACCAATGACGAATAACCTCAGTGGTAAGCTGCTCCTTCTTTGCATCAGCCTCCTGGTAAGATTTGCACAACCCAGCCCAAAGAAGGGAAAACTATCCTGAATGTATCTGAATTTGCAACGCAAAGTTCTTCAAACCAGTTCCAATCACCTTCATCTTCATTCTTTCTATCGCATCTTCTCGCCCTTTTCTTCTCTTCTCTCGCCACTCTTCTTTTTCCTGGCGATCCTGCAGGAGAACGATGCAGAACTTTTATGAAGAACAAGCATGTAGGAAAAGATTAGAAAGAAAAAGAAAGGATAAGAAAGGACAAGAAAGGCATGCAGAGAAAGGTGTGGAGAAAGCTGCCGAGGAGATCGATATGATGCACCTTCTCAGACATGCCCAGTTCATCAGTGACCGACTCCTCTTCCTGGGGCAACACCCGCAGATGGGGACAGCACAGCCAGATCCGATTGGCTACCAAATTCCGGTTTCATGGTTGGAAAATGTTGGAACATTTCTAACGTTTTCTAACCATGCTTCCAGCGTCCAAATCTTCCAATATTTTACCATGGTTGAAATTGGTTTCAATCATTTCTAGGCGCTAGGTCCTAGGTCCGCTAGGTGAGCCGACCTCGGGTTCCGGAAGGGCCCATTGCATCACCTCTGGCAGGACAAATCAGGACAGCACATGCTCTTGGGAAATTTGTCAGAGGCATGGGAAACTCTTGGGAAACTCTTGGGAATCATGGGAAAGTGCAGGGAATGGACACCTTTGAGCCTTTATCCGTCACAACACAAACAATTGATACTAAGCATGAGAACTCATCAAGCGATACCTGAGTGGTGACTCTACACATGTCGGGAATCTTCTGAGGCTCGAGCAGATTGACACTTGTCTGAAATTTCCTCGTGCACACAGCTCTGCTCATGAAGTAGACTTGCACAGCCTAAGCCTGGCAATGTGGGTTAAAGTTTCCCACCAACACAGCTTAGACAAAACTATCCAATCAAGCGCTCCTCATCAGATGCACGGTACTTCACCAGGCAGGGCATTGTGTTTTCAGCGAAGAATTCCTGCTATCACTCTGCACTCGCTCTGTGTATTTGGTGGCCTCTGCTCCAATTCTTCAGCTACAAAGTTGCAATGTCTGAATCGCGCGTAGTCAGTAGAAACACGGCCAACATGGCAAACGCAGCCAACGCAGCGCCTCGTCGCAGAGCTGCTCAATCTCTTCCACACACGCTGTGTTTAAGGCCATAAAGTCTGTGCCTTGCAAAGAACATTGATCCACAGCTTAGGCATGAGAAAGTGTTTGCGATGCAATGCTACGCCACCCACGACGTGCATGGCACAGGCGCCGACATTCTGAAGAAATGTCTGTGGGCGTCTCATGTTGACTTGGGTCCTGAAGAAAGTCACTTGGTCGAGGCAGCTCAGTCAAAAGGAACATTTCAATACATTTCTGATTAGTGACGATGATGGGTTGCTCCGTTGCTCCTTGAGGCAGTCAGCAAGCTCAGATTTTGGACCTGCAGCGGAAGGCAGGACTGTCATACATACATTAAGGTTATTAAAGCCTGATCAGCAAATTGGTAGGACTGTCATGCTTGTGCTCGTCGCACTGAATGAGCTTGGAAATTGAGCTTTGGAGTGCGGACAGGCCACTGGGGAAAGCCCAGGGACCCGCTTGAAACTGCCAACTTCAACGAGGACATGGTCGCCCATTTGGAAAACCAGCTCAAATGAGTCTCTGGCTATCGGGGCATGCTGTCGAAATTTCCACCTCACGAACATTTCAGAGGGGGCTGGACTGAAGAGAGGTATTGAACCAGAAGGTGTTTCTACTGCATAAGCTGCATAAGCTGAGGTGCGCAAAGATACCAGTTTTGCGGTCAAAACACCATTCCATCGCAGCCAGGCTTTGGGGTGAACTTTTATCATCCGTGCAGAATTGGAAGTAACACCCCTAGACAGCTCTTGAGACAGTAGTGTTGCCAAATGCACTGACAAAAGTAAGCCTGGAGTAGAAAACCCTGAAAGAGCAATGAAAGAAATGTTGCGAACGACTGGTCGGAGGAGTTTATGCTCACGCTTGGTCATGCATTTACGCCTGCAAGTATGCACAGTCGAATCACATATGCATCGTACAGTGATCCTTGATCTGCGTGCAAACAGGTTCATTGTTCATATTATGATGGTCATATGTATGCGTACGTGTCCAAAACAGTTTGCACTGCAGCTCCAAAGTCAAGGAATCTGGCAACTAAAAGGAGAAGACAATAATTAATATATATATACTTTACGCAGTTACGCAAAGTATTTTGAAGAAGGCTATCCGAAGCGACATTTCACCCAGGCGACAAATCTTGACACTTATGTTACTGTTAAAGTCCGCTTCTCGAGGGTGACATGATGTGATGCAGAATTATTCCAGACGTTCAGAAAAGACTCTTTGTCAAGGTGCCTGCGGGCTTGCTTGGAACTCATGTTAAAACACTACACCTGCGAACTTTGATCGTGCAGTCGTCTTGACCCTGAAGTGTCTTGCAAAAATGATGCCATTCAAAGCGGGTAGTGGGATGTTTGAACTGATTTTCTCGGGTTTCCATGGTTTCCATGGTTTCCCAAAGCTACAACATCACGCTGTTTTGGGAAAGCTCGCCATGGTTGTTGTCTGGTTTCGGTTGTGCGTAGCAAAATTGAAAAATGAATGCAAACAATCATGCCTTCGCAGGTCTTCCACGGCCCTTTTTTGCTTGCTCTTTTAGCAGACGTTTGGTGTGCAGAACGAAGACCTTTAGAATCGAGTCAACAAATGCCATCCTGAAACTACAATGTAACTACAATTTTGTTTGTTTCAATATGTCACCAGAACAAGCGCACAAAGGGTATAGTCCAGGAATGGGCCGGGAAAAAAGAACAATGCTTACCCTGGATGAAGTTCCACATCGTTGCGGGTCTTCCTCAAAATCCAAAGGCAACATCATTTCAAATTAAAGTCAAGTTCCAATTCAACTTACTGTACCGCCAAGTTCACATTTAAGCTCACTGGAAATTCTAGTCTATCCCAACTCCTCTTGGAATCAAATTCGTTTCTTGCTTGGGGGGCTATTCACCTTCTTTGGGACAGTGGTGAGCGCAAAAGAATCCTGCCAATACGTCTCGAGAGTCCAAGTCCAACTATCGACTAGTATTCGTTTCGCAGCCATTGTTCTCGGGCATCTGATCAGTCTAAGGCAGAGAGCAGGAGGAAAATGCTGAGCTGCTAAGGTTGTCCTGTCTGTGAACATCCAAATCAATTCTAATAATATGTTCATAAGTGTCTATCTATCTATCTCTCTCTCTCTCTATCTCTCTCTCTCTTTTCTTGCCGTTGTGTTGTTGCCCTCCATCCCGGGGCACAGCCTCGCAGGGAAAGGCTTCAAGTATTCTTACAACTTCCGCAGCCAGCAAGAGCCGAAGCCAAACCCACATAGACCTTGACATCCAGAGCTGCACCCGCTGTAGAAACAATGCCACAGCTGCAATGCAACAATGCCTCCAATAGGCAATCATATACTAGTCATAATCATATACTACTCATTCAATGAGTATCAATGAGTCAAATACTACTGTATATGATCATCCAAGGCTTTGGTGTCACTATTGATTGTTCTCACTGGGCCCCTGTAGATGTTTTTAGAGGTTTCACAGCTTCATTTTGCACAATTTGCGTTTTACATTTTGTCACCTCTGAATCTGAGCCCTTTGCCCTTTCACGCCTCAGGCTCTACATCAACGTGCCAGCTCTCTTGAGCACTGAAGACAAAGCGAGACTATCTATATATATATATATATGTGTGTGTGAGACAAGAATGAAGACGTGAAATTTCTTATCCACTTGTGATTCCTATTGATTTTTTGTCTTGCCATCTCTCTATCTCCCTATTTATCCTATGTGTCAAATAAAGTCACAAAACATGTGGTTCCTCTAGTCAACGTTTAAACGTCTGTCCCTGTCTACTTTTTATCACCTCTACATGCCTTCATGTCCCGGTCACTTTTATGCAACTGTTAGTGACGGCCGGGTTATGCCAAGTTTGGGGGCAAGAGGAAACAACCCCCCTTCATCTCATGGATATGCCATGCGCAAACTGATGCGCCAGCTCTTATCGCATTATATTCTATTGCATTGACATCCTCATGCTCCACTGTATGAGGCCAACGTCATTCAAAGGCAAATACTGTATTGTGGCGTTGTACTCGGTAAAGTCCAATTTCACCTAGTAGGACCTAGCGAATTCCCCCACTTTGGTTCAATTCTGTGCCACCTTCTGGGCCTTCTGGGCACCACTGGGGTAGCATCAATGATCCATGAAGAACAGTCCAGGCGACGCTGATGATGGAAGAACTTGGAGATCATCATTGTTGATATTGGTGCAAGATGTTGCAAGTAAAACAGACTTCAACCTGCTCCATGCATCGTGCAAGCTGAGAGAAAATCGGCCAAATGAGACTGGCGACTATATACAGTAAATGGCACAGGATGCATGGCTGCAAAGTCGCCACATGATCCATCCCCAGGGCGCGCAAGGCTGCGACAGCTGGGGCCGCGAGGGTTTCACATGCCTTTCTCAATTTAGACTTTAGAGGCCAGCGCCAAGGAACAGCTAGCAGGGTTATGTCACCTGGGTGATGGGGGAGAGAAGGAGAGAGGATTTACAAAAGAACACTCGAGAATTGTCTTGCCAAAGCAATGTTTGAAAACATTCGTGGACAGTGTTCTTCAGACTGCGTCACAAAGGTGGACGAACAAAAGGACATCTTATCTTGTGCAAATCCATTCAGGCCATGAGAGACAAGAACAAGTGCGAGCATCCGCTAGAATCGTCTAGAATCAACAGACTTGAGTCCTTACCAGTCTCTCTCTTAAATTCTGGACTCTTCTGTCAATTGCCGGTCATGCCAACGCCTGAAGTCAACTGATTGATTCCATTGAGACTTCATTATATATATATATAATTATATATATATACGTATATATACTGCCAAGTCTTGGCTTCGCCATCCTGTGGTTTGAGGCGGAATGGTTGAAAGCCAGTTGCCTCTCTACCTGTTCGCCTCTACATATCTAGCGACCTCTATCTTCATCTTTACCATATTTCCAGTATTTTCCAGTACCACATCTTCCACAGAAGCAGATGGAGCTGTCAGGGATCGGCATGTGCCACGCATATGAAAATAGAACCATATGCAATCCACTGTTGAGGTACTCTCTCATATCAAACAGAGCCACTTTTAACGATGTCAGCCATGCACAGGCAAAAAATTGCCCTGCTCGTGCTCCCAGGGTCGGCAACTTTGTCCGACTTTCAATGACGCACGCACGACAAACCGACGTTACATTACTAAACGAGTGCTATACCGGCTATACCCAAGGTTTTGAAGCAAACAAAACCCAACAGTGGAGCGCATCATCGGCGCAGAAACTGCTTGGGGCCAAATCTTTTGCGACACCTCAGGCGGAAAGTCAGTTCCAAACCTTAAGTTTGGACAACTGTATACAGCATACACCTTGGTTCAATCCCCCTGACCAGCTGAGAATGCAACTCATCAATAGCCAGAATACCGATCAATGCAATACACGGAATTATCAATGACCTTGGGGCCAATACAGCGGAGCGCCACCACATGTTTGAAAGGGAGAGTCTGGAAGCAAATTCCCATAGCACATGTTGACTTTCAGAGCTTGTTTTGTGTCAATGTCTATCATGCTGCCACGAACCGAATGAATGGAAAGCAGCACGAATAAATGACAGTCCTTTACAAATCCATTTGGGCAAACCCATTACTGTAGGTGCTGTGTGTGTGTGTGTCTGTGCATGTCGCAATTCTTGGTATGCAGTGATAACGGCCTAGTGGGCCGCTAATCGCAAGAGGGGTGTTGGTTGGATCGGGGTCGATGGATTGGAATCTAGATGGGTCGGATCGGCGCGACTGGATCTTAATCTGCATTGGTTGGATCGGGACAGTATAGGTCGCAACCTTGTGGGCTACCCCGACCATCCCGACCATCCCGACCATCCCGTCCGTCCCTAGAGAAACCCTCAGAAACCCTAAAAGAAACCCCAAAAGAAACCCTAAAGAAGCCCTCATCCCGACCATCCTAACCATCCCGACTATCCCGACAATTTATCCACCATGTTGATCCAGGATCGTCTTTGGCGCTGATTCTGCGACCCTGATCCGAACCTTTGGATGTTGATTCCGGACGCTGCTCTGTGACGCTGATTCGACCCGATAGTTTCTGACACGGAATTTACTCCAGCCAAGAGATGCAGACAAATAAGAGGGCAAACGTGCAGCAGCATCCAAGAAAGATATATGAATAAAGAAACAAAGGAGAAGAAAGGAGAAACATCTGGAGAATTCATGTTGCGACAGCAAACGAGGAGACGGACATGAAGGGAGGCAAGGAGGACTGAAGAAGCAAGGGAAAATCATCTCATGACGGGACCACATTCTGTGCGAGTGGGGTAAGTAGGAAACGTGAACAGCCAGCTGTTGTTGACCTTCAGCAAACACTGGCTGACTAGGAGACAAGAACCTCAGCAGGAAGCTTGTTAGGAAACAATTTGAGGCCCTTAGGAAATGGAAAGGGGGGACATGACAGGATGCTGCATGATGTTGCAGGGTGTTGCATGATGGCAAAACCAAAAGGAGGGAAGGCGAAAGAGTCTGAAGGAAGTGGAATGGAGTGAGAAAGGACCTGAGGCCAAAGGGAAGGGGACGAAAGCTAGTTGAGCAAGGAGGGATGTGTATTGAGAGAATATGTGGTGCGACCCTTTGAATGTCATTTTTTGAACTGAAATAAACTACCATTCAACGTTGCTGACGCACTAACAGCAGCGTATCATGATATCCTAGCTCGCATGCATTCCACAGCCCTCCCCCTGACATCCTAGCATACATCCATCGAGCAAGAAATGCTCGGGAGTCTCAAGATGCGCATCTTCCATTCCTCGCCAAGACCTGGCATGTTTTCACGCAGGCCTCTTGAGGAATCAGAATAAACATCACATTACATTACATTACATTAGTTTACATTGCAATAGACTAGATTAAATTAGATTAGAATGGGTTAGATTAGATTTACAGTACATTGCAATAGGTTACATTACATTATATAGGTTAGAACAGATTGCACGAGATTAGATTCCATTACATTAGATTATATATTATATATATATACATTTGCTTAGATTGCATTACATTACGTTGCATGCATTACGTTGCATGTGTGTGCGCGGGCATGCGGACCGAGCGGGGCGGACGCAGCGGGGTGGATGCAGCCGGTTTTGAGGGGGGTTGGGGGGGGGGGGGGGGGGGGGGTCACATTTCGACATGATTATATAATCATGCCGAACGTCGGGGCCCCAAAGAAGCTGCATCCAGTCTGTTCCCAATTCATTGCTAGAGCAAATCCAACAACAGCTAGCAAGCTAGCTTTCATGAAAAGCGATGGGGCTTCGCCGTTGTTGATTCCGTTGATTGCCCACTGTCGTAAAATTTGCATGTAGTCCTCATATATGATGATCTTGAGCTGCTGATTTTGTTGGATCTTAGCTTGCTGTGCGCAGTTTGGGGGGACGCATTTGGGCTGGGATCAACTGATTTGCTAGTGCAAGAAGCAACTTGAGCTGGTCACCGAGCTTTCGTGACTGCAAGGTGACGTTCATAGTGATACAACTTCCCAACTGTGTGCCCAACAGCACTGTCTTCTAGACCCTAAGGACCCTGAGCTTGTTGGACTTGTCTTGTGTTCTTCTATATAGGAACGTCCTTGATGCGCATGCTTGCAGCATTGAAACAGGGCACTCTTGGAGTATCTTTACGACATTTCGCAACTGAGACCACTTTATGTGTTCTACCGTAGCTCTGATTTGCCATCATGCCACAGAAATCAATAGCAAACCCATGTCCAAGACAGAGAGAGAGAGAGGGAGAGAGGGAGACTTTGTTGCATCCTGTGGCATCCTGTCTGTGGCATCCTGTGGCATCCTGTTGCATGATTGGTCCATATCGTCACCAAGCCAGGCCTGCCCTCCCCTCATGGCCTCACTTGCCTGCTTGACACTCTTTCTCCGCTCGGAGCACAACCCAAGGCAATCAAGTTTGAAGTCAAACACGGAAATGTCTGCTGACCAACCGATGGCTTTCTCCAATGGGTGCAGCAGTGGGCCTCTTTTTTTCCGCTTACTAGGTGCAGGGTGACTTAAAAACATGAAAATAGAGAGTTGCTTCTTAGACCCAAAAAATAAGTCTTGCAAACAGGACTCTGTCCGACTCCGTCCCCGGTTAAAGAAGGAATGGGGAAACGCAAATCTTCAAACTTCCACAAGAACCTCATCCACATGGACCGCTTCTGCAGCTTCGCGCCCAAGCATGGGGAGCTCCTCTTAACAGCAACAAAGCTCCTGTTCTGGTCGCTTCCATCATCTGCTGCTAAGCCTCTAGCCAAGCTGGAAGCAGTTCCATCCTGTACCGGGATTGTGCGTCAAAGGTAACGATGGAAAGCTCTCCAGCAGCGAAGAACGCCTATCTCCATATATTACTATACAGTATATTACAGTATTACTTATTTAAAACTATGCGGAAAAGCAAAATAAACGAAGAGCCAATGCTCAACGCTTTCAGGATGGGAACTGTCAAAAGAAAGTGCAGTCTCTCAACTCGTTGAGTTGAAGTACTCAAAGGATTTTCGGGTCCATTCCACATGCATCACCTCGGTTGCATGCTGCAGCATGTGACAGCAATAATGAAACGTGCACAGGAACACTGTCACAAGAGATATCCTGGGTCCTTGCCAAAAATGTGGCCAAGTTGCAGCTAGGCTGAGAATGAGTTCGAGCACCACGGTAACATTCAACAAGTGATTTGGCAACCCGTAGCCACCTTGCTTGCAATGCTTTGTGCATGACCTGCATGCTTGTCTCGCTGACACAAGCCAAGGGACTGCGTATAAGTTGAATTGAGGGCAGCACCGTCACCAAAAAGTGGTTGGCTCTTGGTGGTTGAGGAGAGGGCAGCTGCTACTTGTCCTAGAACCAGTGTCCAATAGTAGACAGTCCTCGGAGATATCGGAGATGCTTTTGATATCTTTTGGCCTTGTGGTGTCATGTGTTAAATTTGTGCGACTTCGGGGCCAGGAAAGCTCGCAACAATTTGCACCTCTACAACGCGGACATAGTAGGGACATAGTAGGATATAGCAGGGACATATTACGGACGGTGGGTATGGGAATCATCCAGGCCATTTCGAAAGCTTCAAATCTAGTGACTTAGTGCTGCTGTGTGCCGTTGTCTTCGTTCTCTTCTGCATCCCATTGGCCTTTCAAGACTATGATCCTGGTCTGTCTAGCTCAAACCGGGAACTTCTACTGAACTTCTTCCACCAAGCCGCATACCAGTTCGTTCCACTACGCGGTCCTTCCAAAAGGCCACTCATGCCGGCATGCCATGCATGTTTTGTCCTTCGGTGTTTCAAGCTTCAGTATCTTCAGTGAACTACGGAATGCAGCATCCTGATGTCCATAGTCGCTGACCGGCTCATACTCCTTTACCATTCTGCCAATGCCTGGGGTCAGCATGAAGTACATCAACCAACCTCAGTGAAGTCGCTGGTTGTTCCACTTATGAAAACCAGAAAATAGGTATGGACGACATTGGACGACAAAGAGGTCACTAGGTCCTAGGTGCTGTCACCACACGAAAAAACATACCAAACACTCGGATGACTGTGACGCATTGTTCCTGCACTTCTTACAAACACCAAGAGCCAAGACGCAGAAACAACACTGCAACACACCAATATAGCAGTAGCTGAAAGCTAGAATCTCACGGCCAACCATCCAGTCCTCAATGCCAGCTTCAGCTGACATACTTCAGTGACAGTTGGACATGAGAGCCCATCTGCAGTTCCAGCCAAATCTAAGAATCAAGCACGTTGTGGGTGCCGTGGAGGTCTGTTCATCAGCGAAACCTCTGGCTTCTGAGCTGCAAAAGCCACCTCACCCAAACAGCAAGTTTAACACAAGAACGGATGCCTGTCAAAGTACTGTACTCAGTAGACATCAGTAGCCTCTTTTCCATTGGGTGACATTATGACCAAATCGATCACAGCAAATTAAAAGACTAGTTGACTAGTTGTGACAAGTTGCAGCTGTCCAAATATCAGTTCCGATGTCAATCAGCAATACCTGGCGGAGCTCACAACACAAGAGACAGAAGAAACGAGAGGCAAGACAAGTGTTCGTAAACTGCACGGTTAGAGACGAATGTCGGAGGTCCGGTCGATTCCCAAATGTGCAGCTGATGTCCGTAACGTACCATACTCCAAAAATACCCAAGGATCTCCAAAGATTTGTTGGAGAATGTTGGAGATCTCCAAAGTACATCTGCCAAATGTGCTGTTGCGGCTCTACGCCCAGCCTGCACTGCTGCCAGAGCTAAGGGAATCCCAAAGACTTCCATCAGCGCCGGCACAACTTGAGGCCTTCCACCAGCTTCGCCATGAAAAGATGAAACATCATGGAAAATCATGGGAATTCCATCAAGGCTTCATATGTCCCAGCCAAGAAGAAACCAGGCAATCTCGGCCAAGGATCAGTTTTGAGCACAGAGTATACATGATGGATTTTTGAAGGTTCTCACCTGGGCAACGGATATCTTCACCAAGGTTCGGTGTGGTCTGGTGAATCTGCCTCGTGCAGATAAACTAGATGTATAATTCGTGAGTGCAGGTGCTATCAGAATCGCTTTCAACTTGGATAGGCCCGTTGACCATTGAAACAGCTGCAAGTATGCTCCCTCTGACCATTTGCTACCAGTGTCACTCATCAAAAGAAGTGTCAAGGTGCATCAAAACTCTTTCCTTCCATAACTGAGCGGCAAAGTGATACAACAAAATTGACCTTTTCTGCTCGTTTCACTGGCCCCCTGTTTCCACTTTGCACTACATTGCTTGGTAAAGACCTTGAACCATCTTGAACACATACTTACCTGTTTACACCCATGACAAACTGCACGTCTAGGACAAACTGCACGGCAAGTTTTTAGGGGAATCTATACTATATATATAATGTATCACACAAAATGCCTTTGAATTGCTATATGATCTATATGTATTGTGCATATACCCTGAAAAAATGTCAATAGCGAAACAATGGCAGAGAAGTTAATGAACTAAACAGGTACATTGCTTCTCAAGGAACATGTCTCTAAGTACGACTCTTAAAACGATCGCCCTTATTGTCACCTTGAAAGTTTGAGTTTGCAGGGTCCCTAATGCCCAACAACTCCAACGACTCCAACAACTCCAGGGAAAGAAGAAACGCAGGACCACACCCCGCTCCAGGCTGTCAAGGTGCCAGCAAGCCTGCCTTGTTCCATGCCATCAATGGCCTCTGTCACGAGCATCAAGCGCCACAGCCAAAATGGGAACTTGGGAAGTGTCAAAGCGTGACCTGTCGTACATATTCGGTCACTTTCTCATGCCACTTGATAAGCTCTCCCGTAAGCTTCTTGCGGATGAGAAGTTGTCATCCAGCAAAATAATATCCGCAGCATCCTGGTCTAGCATCAATGTGGATTCCCGCCATTCCCACTGCTTCCGGGTGTTTTAAAGACTATTGACTATTGACCAAAGCAAACATTCAGGTCGGACTGCAGAATCTCAAGGGTTCTGCTTTAAACTAATTAACCCAATTAACCCACCTACACTCAAAGCGAATTGTGTCTTTGTAATTTTTGTGTTACAATAACTTGGGCCCCTGGGTTTTTGGTCAGCAAATCAAACAACGACCCATGTCGGCGGACCAGGTTCTGGCTTGGGTTTGCTGCAACTGACATGTTACGCTCAACAGACTTCACCACAGAAATCAAATGCAACAAATATACATATTTGTTTTTGGTCATGATAACTTCAAAACGCAAAAACTGCAATTTTGGTCCAAACGTCTTCAAATTTGAAGCTTGAATGCATGCCCTGCGTCAAGCCAACACCATAACTTCAAATATATAATTTGAAGTCATGCGTGGCTCCAAAGTACTTCACCACGCTTCACCACATGAACTTGCAAAGGTGATTTTGTGACATGTTTAGGGAAAGGGCGTTCTCGCTGGAGGCATCTCTCCGCAAATGAAGCTTCAAATTCGTGTTTCAAACAATTCGGCTAATAAGTGTACTGTCAAAGGCAAATTGGAAAAACATGTCTTGCACAAGCGTAAGGTTGCCGATTTTCAAGTGACTCTCGTCGCCTCTCTTTCTCTCCCTCTCTCTCTCTCTCTATCTCTCTCTCTCTCTCTCCCTTTCTTGGACAACTGTTTCGATCGTTTCTTGTCAGTGCTGTGAAAAAATACTGTTGCTATGTGGGTTGCGGGTGCTTCTTCTGGCTGTGTTGTTTCCTGTTCTGAAAATTGAAGTGCGTGTACTGCTTGTTGAGCCACGTAGGTCTTGACACATTCTGCGAGGCAAAAAGGCATTGGCCAGAACGATAAGATGTGGTTATCATCTCTAGGTCGAGTGTATCAAGATTCCATGATGTGCAGCCATCAAATAGTATTGCTGGCGCAAATTGTCGCAGCACAACAGCTGCACACCCTTCCACTTGGAGCCTCTTCTCATCTACATTCTCTTTAACCTTTCTTATCTGTCTTGTTGCATCCAATCTTTACGCTGTCCTCACCATCTTGGCATGCTCTGTAATGTTTCATCTTTTTGTGGTGTAGAGAATATAGTGTTGCCTTTTTCCCTGCCCTCAAAACTATCGCAAGGCCAAGAGCATGCCAAAGGTTATAATGATTTATATAAAATGATGTACACATCATTAAACGACCAAGTAGAGCAGCCGAGTGTCCTGTGCAACAGAGGTGCCTCGTATACCCATGGCTATACCAACCTCCACAGATTACAGCGGATGTTGGGGCACCAAAGAGAGAACTTGAGGTACACCAGACACAAATTGATCCAATTGATTCAGTCGACACACCTTCACCCAGTTCCCCAATTCACACGCAGAGTTGCATTGTGCGCCAAATGTTTCTTGCTTCTTGCAACAGCCAGCAATGTTTTGACAAGCATCAACGCAAATGATACATGGTAGCGGAACAAGGATCTTGGCGGAAAGTGACTGCCCTTCACAGAACAGGCTGAACATGATGACCGAAGCAGCAAAGCAAATGCTCTAGCAGCCGCAGCAATACACCCACGGCGACCAAATTTGACAAACAGAAAGCTTAGAAAAATGTTGAAATCCAGCTTCCAAATTGATACGACATATCTTGACGACGGTTTTATCTGCTCTTAATCAATCTCAGCAGGAAGAACAGCATTCTTAGGTCTGTCGCACAGGCCTTCTACCCAGATTTGTCAAGTACCTTTTGAAGAATCCTTTCCATTCTTTCTATGATGGGAGTTCAACTTTGCGGAGTTGTGTCGATGGGGGGGAAACAGGTCAACCCACAGTGCTTTCGAACGAGAGCGGTTCGAAGAAAAACACAACACCTCCAGGCATGCAGAGCCGCAGCTAAAACAGCTCACGCCTCAAATTAAATTCGCAAAAGTCTCGTCCCAACAGAGTAGGACAACCTTTCCCACTGGTGCACTTGACGCAGTACACCGGACGATGCCTTGTAGTTTCTCATCTTGAAATTTCATTTTGGATATTTCAGACATTGCATGCGCCAGGTCCACCAAGTTCGCTCTCCCTGCAGACCGGTCTCACCAGTGCTGTGCTTCAGCTGCAGCTGCCTCCATTTCGCTGCGTGTACGCGCTCCAGGGCTTTGGCAACGCCCCCAGCTATAGAATTGCACTGGCCAAGCTGAGCACGAAACTGGACAAAGATGACAAAGCACCATGAAATCGTGCGGTCTGTTTCGATATTTCAGACCGGCGTCAATGAAATAAACATGCCTGAGGCCGTTGAGGTCAGGGCAGCACAAGGGTGGAGCGCTTATTTTCGCACTGCAAGGCTGCAAGGTGCCAATGCTTCGACCAAATACACTGCACCCAACCAATGGTGCCCCGAACAGTACAGTCCAGAAACAAGCAGCTTGAAACGAGAGGTGCAACCCATGAGCGTGGCAAAAGTCAATGCAACGAAAGGCAAAGAACGTAACGAAACCTAGGACCTAGGCCTTATTGACTTATACCAGCACAGACTGCAAATCTTTTCTGCAAGCAATTGCGTTCATGAATTTGGACTTCCTAAACACAAAGCACGTTTCCATGAATGTCCAAGAAGCACAAATGAAATGCTCATGGCACAGATGACATCCTCGGCAGACACAATTCGCATGGCACCTGTGCCACCTACGAATCAGCATCCATAGTACCCACAGCCCCAGGAAGACAACGAAAGGCACCCACTCCACCCAGAACTCAAGGCAGACGTAGGCAGACAGGAGATACACAGCTGCGGCCCCCGGACAGCGCAGCCGATTTCCCCCACACATGGAGCTGCCACATTCTCGAGTGGGAAAAGCGCAGCAAAGCGCAGCAATGCGCAGCAATGCACAGCAAAGCGCTGCAATGCGCTTCAGCTAAGTCTGTGCGCAAATGATGGGCAATAGCAAAAAACGCATTACAAAGACAAACAAAGCAGGGGCTGAGCATGGGCAGTTTCGGCTGCTGAGCCATGTCTGTCTTGAACAATGTGAAAGGCGCAAAGGGACCGAATTGAAACGCTCAATAAGAGTGCTCCAGCTCAAACACCAACACATGAGAGTTCCCAAGAAAGTGATTTTGCAGGCCTCTGCCTGCTTCAGGGCTGGCGCATCGTTGACACCATCACCAGTCATTGCAACGATGTCCCCCAGCCCAGCTTGGCCAAAACACTGGTAAGCCTTGCCACAAGTCCGTCAGACCAAATCAAGCGACCACTGCAAGGAGATATGGTCTATAGTTTTATATCCATATATATATATATATTCTATATAGATATATGATACCCTCAACTACTACACAGGGACCTCAGGATTTCACTTTAGACCCCAGAAACCTGGGTCTAGGATTGTTTTCCTAGGGTTTAATGTAATTTTTTTGACAAATGTAGACGGGGGGTCCGCAACCCTAGGTTCTAACATGGTTGTACCAGCTCTCAATGTCAATGATATTGCTTCTATCATGCGGGGATTTGCAAAGGGAAACCACATGGAAAAAAGGAAATGGGGTAAAACGGATTTTTTTTTCCGTTTTGCATTTATGTCTTATTCCTTTTCCTTTCTTTTCTCGAAGGGATGTCATTTTTGAGGTTTTTCTCGTCATGTTTGCAATTCTGGCTCGAAACTAGCAGGCATGCACAAAAACCTCTTTGCAAGAAGCATAGATTATCCTAGCCGAAGGAGGTTTAGAAGTCAAACTTCCGACAATATGGACAGATGAAAAGCAGAGCAGGGCAGAGGCAGAGAGAAGAGAAAGATTTGAAGAGAGAAGATCAGAGAAGAGAAAGAGTCAGAAGAAAGAAGATGCAGATGCGCGAAAAGGTAGGAAAGTCGCGAAACACTGTGTTTTTCCAATGATTTGAGGCTCCGGAGGGTCGAAAAGTAAGCTCGCTAAAGCGGCGGGTGCGGAGCCAGCTGGCCAGATGAGAGATGAAAAAGTGCACGGCGGTGTGGCGCGAAACACATTTCGAAGTGAAAATGTACAAAACACCAGACCACTTTTGGAGTTCAGATGTCGAAAAAGTGCACACGTTGTGGCGCGAAGCACATGTCGAAGTCAAAATGTACAAAACACACCATTCTCGGACCACTTTTGGGAGACAGTGCACGCCGTTGTAGCGCGAAGCACATTTCGAAGTCAAAATGTACAAAACACCAGGGGTTCGGACCACTTTTGGAGGTTCAGATGTCGAAAAAGTGCACACCGTTGTGGCGCGAAGCACATGTCGAAGTCAAAATGTACAAAACACACCATTCTCGGACCACTTTTGGGAGACGTCGAAGAAGTGCACGCCGTTGTAGCGCGAAGCACATTTCGAAGTCAAAATGTACAAAACACCAGGGGTTCGGACCACTTTTGGAGGTTCAGATGTCGAAAAAGTGCACACCGTTGTGGCGCGAAGCACATTTCGAAGTCAAAATGTTAAAAACACCAGGGGTTCGGACCACGTTCAGATGTCGCTTCGCGAGGCAGGCGCAAGGGATTGTGCACCTTGTCAAAAGTGAGCAAAACGTGAGGGTTTTGTGGCATTTTCAACTACAACCACCACTACACCACACTACACTCCAATACATTAGGCTACACTACAACTACAACTACACCTTCACTACATTCTACTACACTCCACTCCACTACACTACACTGCATTCAATTACACTCAATTACACTACACTACATTACACTACACTCCATTCCACTACACTACACTACACTACATTACACTACACTACCTTCCACTACACTTCACTACATTACACCACACTACACTCCACAACACTACAACTACGACTACACTACACTACACTCCACTACACTAAATTACACTCCACTACACTAAATTACACTCCACTACACTAAATTACACTACACTACATTACACTACACTCACTACATTCTACACTACACTACACTACACTACATTACACTACACTACCTTCCACTACACTTCACTACATTACACCACACTACACTCCACAACACTACACTACACTACACTCCACAACACTACAACTACAACTACAACTACAACTGCAACTGCAACTGCAACTGCAACTACAACTACAACTACAACTACAACTACACTCCACTACACTAAATTACATTACACTACTACATTACACTACATTACACTACATTCCACTACATTCCACTACACTACACTACATTACACTACACTACATTACACTGAATGACACTGCACCACAGATAGACAGGTAGACAGATAGACAGGTAGACAGATAGACAGATAGACAGACAGACAGATAGATAGATAGATAGACAGGTACAGAGCTAGACAGCCAGACAGATAGACAGATGAAAGAGAGAGAAAGAGAGAGAAAGAGAGAGAGAGAGAGAGATAGATCGATAGATAGATAGATAGACAGATAGATAGATAGATAGATAGGTAGGTAGGTAGATAGTCAGAGAAAGAGAGAGAAAGAGAGAGAAAGAGAGAGAAAGAGAGAGAAAGAGAGAGAAAGAGAGGAGACCTCAAGCACCTTTCGGTCCATCAGTGGCTTCGATCTGCCATCTCTGATTCACAACAACCAACCTCTCCTATAGGTTTCCTATTTTTAAAACTTCCGCCACCGCCTTGTGCGGTACTACTGGTAAAGAGAAATAAACCATTATCTCAAAACCGCAAAGGTGAAAACATATAACATACATGGGTTGGCCCGCATATTTATGGCATAAATATAATTTTGGGCCTGTGACCTTCTTTTCGGTTTGGATCTAGCACTTTGCTGTGCATCGTTGTTGCTTCTGTTTCAGGGAAGGGGGTCTGTCATCATGTACGGTGAAGTTGGCCGGGACTTTTCTTTCGTTTTGGGTCTTGGAAAAGCATGCTAGACCCTTGCACTTGGGGTCTGCCCCACTTATCACTGAGGGTGGCCGAACTTGGGGCGCCGGGTAAGCTTGGGGCACCTGGATTTCAGTGAGAAAAAAGATGCAAACTTTTGAGCATGTTTGAAACTTGTTCTTTTCTTGTGCGCTCATAGAAGAATGTATTTTGGCAATTTTTGGCTTGTGACCTTCTTTTCTTAGCATGTTTATGCCTATGTTTTTCGCTCGAAACAAAAATAAACATCTTGCCAACCTTTCGCCACACTTTCGCGACTGCAGAAAAATTGATGCGCATGTCATCAGCTGTCACTTGGATACTCAAACTCTTACATTATTTTTAAATCAACCCCCGGAAAATTGGGAACGATTGTCCTGATTTTTCCCATTCACACAAGATTGCGCTAGGTTCCCCATGTCAAGGGTCTAGGAGTCTAGCATGAAGTTCACTAAGGCATAATGGTAAAGGTCTAAAATGAAAAACCAACCCTTATACATCATAGTTCTGAGGGTCTACAATGATAAGGTCTCAAAAGTCTACAATGTTTTTGTGAACCAGGTAAGGCCCTGGGCCCCCGAACCCTGGAGGTCTACCCATTCCAGACCCTAAGTAGTATATGTCAATGTATGTATATATACACACATGGCCCAGGCCAGCAACACCCCCCATCCCCCACGTCATGGCCATGGTCCTGTGTGTACGATGTATGTACGCTGTATGTAGGAAGCTCTAAGTAAGACATAGTTTACACACCCCACACACACCCTGTGGGATCGGTGGGGGCTAGGTAGTGTGTCACTAGCATGTAAGGCAAAAAGTAGGTAGTATGATGTAGTATGTGGCTACAATGGGATGGGTCCGAGGTGTTACAGAGGTATGGTGTAGATAGTGTATAGGTAGTACACGGCCTCCACGTATGTATAGCATATGAGATCTTGCCAGTAGCTAGTTTATGGCTACTGTAAAGGTATATATTTTATGTATCTTCATGTGCAGCAATACGGTGTAAATGGATGGTATGGGCATAGGCAGTAGTGAACACTGCATGGAGGCAGCAAAGGTGGCACGAGGCCAGCATGTAAGTATAGCATATGAGATCGTGACGGATGGTCGTAGATGGCTAGGCCACCCCCATTTGGATGGTTTCTGGGGGGGGATAGCATTGGGGGCGGGGTTGCCGGCCGCCGGCCAGGACCATATATACGTCACAGTATCTCATGCGGGTGTGCATGTTTGTGTTTATGTACTTTTCAGTGAAACTCCTGGCATCGTAAAAAGAAACGAAAGAATGTCGGGTGCGAATTGAAAACACCTGAATGCTTGCAGCCACAAGCCTGAACGATGATGCGCTTGTGCAAAGGTGAGACGCGAGCAAACACCCTGCATGAGGCAATGGAAACACAAATAAAAACAGCTTGACGATGCTTGGTTTGTTGGATTTTGCTGGTATTTTTCTTCAACAACATCTTGAGCGACACGCCTTGTGTGCTGGACAGCTTCCTGCCAAAAAGCCTGCAAACACTGAACCAGTAGAAAAAGTGCCCAAAACAAATGAAATTCAAAAGGCCCAAGCTCATCCTCTTGAATCTTTGATTGCATATTTGTTGTGCTCCAGGGACTCCAAGTCGGACCTTCGAACTCGCTGATAGTTCATCAAAGTCTTCTTCCGGCAAGTGGGAGTCCAAATCCTAAATTGAATTGAAACCCTGACGCGCAAACCACCTAGTTACCATGAAAGTGAGACTGACTACAAAATGAGTTAAATAACGTTGTTGATCCTCAAGCTGTAAGACACTTCAATCACCCTGCACTGCCAACTTGCAACTCCGAGAAACACAACCTTGAAGCACCTTTGAGAGGGAGGAAGTTAGGGAGGAGGCAGTATATGCATAGTTTTGGAGCCCAGAAGCAATTCGTAGATAATTAATGATAATTATACAATTTGCTATCATATACAATTGGCCATGGAGATGGTGTTTACAAGTTCAAGTCAGTTGCATGAAAAAAACGCCCGGACTCACCAACCACGAGCCCAAGTCCAATTGGTTGAAGGCGAAGGGTTCCCCGAGTTTGGCTGCGACTTTATATTCCTGTGGGTGTCAGCCAGTTGTGAACAGTTTGAAACTTGGGCTCCAAGTGCCCTATCATCTGTGGAATTGGCCCCACATGGACCCCACATTGAGCCCAACTCGGTTGGGGCAACATAGATTGCATTCAAATGCACTGATGAAATGGTGTAGTTTATATTAGTTGATATAGTCATGTCTTATGTATCAGGGGAACTGCTTCACCGTCACCAAAATATCCTACATTCCATCTCAGTACAGAAAAGTCGCCTTGTTGCAAGCCCTTGGGCCCCGGACCTGGAAATCGAGCTCTGCCGCGGCTTGTTTCGGCTGCGGCAGAATTGAGACACGCTTTGCAATAGCTCTTGCCGTGGTGGGATGGTCTCCAGTCACCATGACGACCTGCATTGGTATATAAGCATATATAAGATTATATAAGCTATATAAGCTATATAGGGCCTATTGTCGAGTGATTGTCGAAGCACTGCACTGTCCAAAATAGAAATGTTCTACAGCTCCAAGAATCTTTGTGACGCTCCTTGAGCATCCTTGAGCTCGCCTTCACTCCAGCATCCTTGCACTTAAGAACAGCCTCCATGACTCCATCTCTTGGCGGATCCTGGCTATGACTCATTGATCATAGCTAGCAATAACTAGCATATATGACTCCGATGACTTTTCTGTGAGCAAATTGGCTGTTTGTGGATGAAGCCAGCTTATGATGGATGGCTCTCTCCGCGCATTTGCCCTGGTGACACTTGCGGCTGCCTCGATGGCAAAGAAGCCCAAGAGGTCAAAGCCAGACACAGGAAAGTTGCAGTCACTCAGGCTGACTCCTGTGCTTTCACTCACAGCGCTATTGGAAAATCTGCAGATAGAAAAGGATACCCATGATTTCGGTTTTGCTGCTGATCCCCCTAATTTAATATCAAACACCCCTAGGAGACCATGGTTTTTTGGGAAGTTGCCCATATTTGGAACCATCTAGTGGATGCTTAATATTGGGGGATGGGATTATACAATATTATATACACACACCTCTTGCAGGTGGGGCACCTTCAAACGTGTCCGGCACTTCTTCGGCAGTGAGCTTGCGGCTTGCCAGCCCAATCACTCGCAACCCCCTGCAGTTCACAAATCCGTACACAAAAGAGCCATATCTGACCCATTGCTCAGCCAATCTGAGTATCTTCTGAATATGTTCTGAGGATGCTGCCTTGTCATCAACTCTCCTTGGCGACAGAAGGTTTGCACAAGACTTTTGCAGCGCAGCGATCCACGCGGAGGAGCGTCTAAATCCCCGGCCAAGGGGCGCAGCTGTGCATCGAAGTTGATGCAGGCGTTGCAGACATGCAGGATCTTTTCAGGCGCACCCTTGATGATGACATTGCAAGGAAACTCCTGAGGCTTGAGGTTTCTTAGATTCTTGTTCTCGGATTTGGCGTGAGAGATTTTGAAAAGCACGCCAGAGGCAAACCCAGAGCGTAGCTTTAACGATAAGACCAAAATCGCTGCCACATACAGTCAGAGAGAGAAAAGATCATACAGATACAGTTTACTTCTACTATTTGTCCTCGACGTCACTTGCAATGCAGGTCATGCCGAACTGTTTCACACTACCCATGTGTACCAATCTTGATGCTTCCATACATGTGCTGATTTGCTTGCACCGTGAGAATACGAGGCCTACCACAGCATGTCATTCTAAGGATCATGATGGAAAAGTCCTGTGGCGACTAATTACCCAAGTACCAAAATATTCGAGTGCCTGAAAGAGCACATTGGGCCCATCCCCGCCTGATCAGATCGGCGGTGGACCTGAACTCATCACATGCTTCACGCATGAATCAACCCTTTGCGGCATTTGAGACCCCTTGTCTTCCAGCATCTGCGGTGACCTTTTTCGGATGGAGCAGACGTATCGGAAGCGTTCTCTGCTTTTCATCCCTACATCCAATATATATTATATTGAAGAGAACAAGAATCAGCCCCTTGCGTGGATTTCTAGGAGACAAAACTTTGAAGTTTCTCAACAGTCGTGACAAACACCCGTTGACGCGGCCAGAAATCCGAGTTGGGAAAAGCTCTGAGCACCCAGCCGTGAGCATCCACTTGTTCTCCGAGTTGAACGGGATTTCAAAGCAGGCCTATATGCTTACCCAAAGCTACATTACAGCATATGTGACGACACCAGTTTGGCAAATGTCTGTGAATGAGGCAATTGACTGCCCTTACAACTCACTCAGCGCCCTCCTGCTCCTGTGCTGCATCTCGAAGTGACAATCCCAGCCTGATTTTCTGCCCAAGTGCACATGGACAACATGGACATCACAGAATCAACATCCGAACATCTTGGCCATCGCACAAACCATGCCTCAAGCCTTCAAACATATGCAGAAAAGAAACATTGCAGCTCCTGCTTTGAAAATCGCTACCTCCGTTGGGGATCCAAAAACCTCAACTGTGCCAAGCACCGAGCCAAGCGGCAAAATGACTGTGTAAGTTAACATGTTGACATGTGTTGCGGGCTACACAGTGCAGAAGTGGTCCGATCCAAGTTGCATCACAAGTTGCATCCCGAGGTCCACTCAAGACCTGAAATGATAGGGTAACTTGGAGGCCACTTCAGAGAGGGTTAATTTCGAAGCATGGTGGTTTCAGTGGTTTCGGCTGTTGCGCTGGACAACTGGACAACCACGGTTTTCCCATCGATGCCTTGGAAAGATGCAGCCCATGAACCCGAATGCTCACACGTATGTTAATGGTACAGATTCAGATGTCAAAATGCAGTCACATAAAACACGTCTGTTAAACAAGTTCTTTCAACAGTCTTGTAATACATTCTTCCCCTGTTACCGTATCAGTGTAGACTGTGGAGTGTGGAATGGAGTGGAGTGCACAGTGTGGAGTGTGAAGACAGTGGAGTGTTGAGTGGGGAATGTACAGTAGTGTGTAGGGTGTGAAGTGGGGTTTGTGGAGAGTGAAGTGTTGAGTGTAAAGTGTAAAGTGTGGAGTGCAAAGTGTAGAGTGTAGAGTGTGAAGCGTAAAGTGTAGTGTAGAGTGTAAAGTGTAGAGTGCGGAGTGTCAAGTGTAAAGTGTGAAGCGTAAAATGTAAAGTGCAAAGTGTAGAGTGTAGAGTGTGGAGTGCGGAGTGTAAAGTGTAAAGTGTAGTGTGTGGAGTGTCAAGTGTAAAGTGTAAAGTGTAGTGTGTGGAGTGTGGAGTGTAAAGTCTAAAGTGTAAAGTGTGGAGTGTCAAGTGTAAAGTGTTAAAGTCTTAAAGTCTTAAAGTGTTAGTGTAAAGTAACTCTCCCGATGCCCCACGCCAGTTGCGGGCGGTTGCCGATGGTTGCGCAACATCTAGCGAACACACCCTCAACCCCCAAACCCCCAGAGTGAAACGGGAACCCTTGCTACGCGTTCGGGAAACCACATCATATAAACTGAAAAACTCAAGCATCTGGACCGCGATGACAAATGGCAATGGAGAGAGAGAGAGAGGAAAACAAAAAAAATAGGGACTGGAATTTTGTCTCTTTCTTACAATGATCTTTTTTCAGGTTGGATTGGATGAACTTTGCAGGCTTGAACGGAAGTGATTTATTGCTAAAAATTGCACTTTGTTCAGCCTCGAACTTCTTCCAGGTCAAGCCGAAGCCAAGAATAGCAAATGCCAACAAGATGTCAAATGAAAATGGTTCAACGATGCTGTAACAATGCACAATGCACGCCGTGACACCAAGGTGCCTGAGCTTTATTGTTGAGAAGCCCTGCTTTTGCAAGTGCTTGGATGCCAGCAGCGCCTTGTCCCTCAAGCATGCGCACATGTTGCATGGGTGAACTGAATCAAATTAATCTACCAGAAACTACCCTTGTAATGCAACGACATGCAACTTCCACATGCTGCCATACTGTCCACCTGCAGCTCCTTGGCATTGACTTGGAGGACCTTCCAGCTTGGTCGGGGTCAGGTCTTGTGGGTTCGGTGTTCACGCATCTCTCAAAAGACTTCAGGCATGAAATGGCTGAAACTTAGGCTGGCCTCAGTTCCAGCTGGTACAAGCACTTCCCGCACCTTCGCAAGGCAGACTGTCATCAGAGTGCATCGACTCCACTGGCTCCATCGATTTACTGGCTATCGAGACTTGCGGAAAACCAAATGACAAACGGTAAAAAGAGACTGAGCCTGTATGGCATATGGCTCTATTGGCTAGGATTCAGCAAACCAGCGTAATAGGCTCAATGAATGCAGCCTCCATGACTCCAGTGGTGAGAGTGCCAGTCTTATCCGAACAAAAGGTTGAGACACCTTAGGTGCTCCGGGATTGAGGCCAGGCAGTCTGTTGGCCATCCAAATTTTAAGCAAAGCCAGATGCAACACGAGGCGTGGGCATCCAAGAGACTCAATTGCATCCAACTTCTTCACCACAACTTGCAGCCTTCAGCAACGGATTTTATATATCTAAGTTATACTCAACGATTAGGATTGAGAGCTTCGTTCCAAGAGCGTTCTGAAAGCAGCACCCTCAATACGCTGCCTTGACATCCTCTTTGAGGCTATCCTGGTCCGGGGCTATTGAAGTCAAACCGTCAAACCCCGGTGGGCTTCCATACGGGAAGCCCCCAATAAAACTTGACGAATCTGAGACTTGCTCGCACAAAATCTTCAGACACTCAATCAATTCATGGATCTTGTGTGTCTTCTTTCCGACTAAGCGTCATAAGAGATAGCGTCACGGTCGGCAGCAACCCCTCTGGAACCTGCATTCACAAGTCCAAAATTGAGTGCTGCAACACGGATTCGTGCCATGCATGGAGAGAGTGGGAAAACTGCAACACCCAAGGTTGCAAAGCTTCGCTCAAAGAGCATGCATACACAAGCTATATATCCCTCTCTCTCTCTCTCTGTCTGTCTGTCTGTCTGCCTGCCTGCCTGCCTGCCTGTCTCTCTGCCTGTCTGTCTCTCTGTCTTTCTGTCTCTCTCTCTCTCTCTGTGTCTGTCTCTCTGTCTCTCTCTGTGTCTCTCTGTCTCTCTCTCTGTCTCTCTCTGTCTCTCTCTGTCTCTCTCTGTCTCTCTCTCTCTGTCTCTCTCTCTCTCTCTCTCTGTCTCTCTCTGTCTCTCTCTGTCTCTCTCTGTCTCTCTCTGTCTCTCTCTGTCTCTCTCTGCTCTCTGTCTCTGTCTGTCTCCGTCTGTCCGTCTCTGTCTCTGTCTGTCTCTGTCTGTCTCTGCCTGTTTGTCCGTCAGTCCGTCTTGGTCCGTCTTGGTCCGTCTTGGTCCGTCTGTCCGTCCGTCCGTCCGTCTGTCCGTCCGTCTGTCTGCATGTCTGTACGTCTACATTTCTGCATGTCTACATGTCTGCATGCAAATTGTGCATGCCTGTGTGTTCGTGCATGCATATGTATTTTCATATAAAGATACACCCGCATGTTTAAGATCACTTGTAGTTGTAACCTTCTCCTATACCCAAACATGCCTGAGAGAAAAGTGCGGTCGTGCAGTTTTCCAACACCTCCTTAGCAACTGGCAGCTGCATGTGCTTGATGGACCTTGATAGCCTTTTTCACAACGGTGCGCGATTGGAGCCTCTATCCTCTTGCCAAGGCTCCGAAGCCGTTCGTAATTTTGGTGCCAACCTTGCATCAAAAGCATAGAAAGACACCACGAGTTGATATAACACAACGATGCGGTCTCTTTACACTGTATCAGCTTGTATGAATGATAATTATACAAATAGTTTTAATCGAAGGAAATTTAGAAGTCAAACTTCCGACAATATGGACAGATGGAAAAGCAGAGGTGGGAAGAGCCAGACAAGAGAAGAGAAGAGAAGAGAAGAGAAGAGAAGAGAAGAGAAGAAGAGAGAAGATTAGAGAAGAGAAAGGGTCGGAAGAAAGAAGATGCAGGTGCGGGACAAAGTAGAAAAGTCGCGATTCACTGTGTTTTTCCAATGGTTTGTGGCTCCAGAGGGTCAAAAAGTAGGCTCGCTAAAGCGGCAGGTGCGGAGTCATCTGGGGAGATGAGAGACGAAAAATTGCACGCAGGTGTGGTGCCAAGCAAATTTGCAATTGAAAAAACTTCAAAACACCTCACGTTCGGAACACTTTTGGAAATTGAGATGTCAAAAAAGTGCACGCCGTTGTGGCGCGAAGCACGTTTCGAAGTCCAAAGTGTTAAGAACTGACGGGTTTGGAGCACTTTTGGAAGTTGAGATGTTGAAAAAGTGCACGCCGTTGTAGCGCGAAGCACATTTCGACGTCAAAATGTACAAAACACCTCAGCCTCGAAACGTTTTTGGAAGTTGAGATGTCGAACAAGTGCACGCCGTTGTGGCAAGAAGCACATTTCGAAGCCAGAATGCTAAAAACACCACGTGTCCGCGTGACTTTTGGATGTTGAAGTGTCGTGTTGTGTGGCAGGCGCGAGGGATTCTGCACCCTGGCAAAAAGTGAGCAAAACGTGAAGGTTACAAATGCCTAACTACAACTACAACTACACTACAATTTACACAACGCTACACTACACGAATTACATTACATTACGCTACAACTACCACTGCGACTGCAACTAGAACTACCACCACAGTACGCTACACTAGACTACGCTACAGCTACAACTACACTACTTTACACTACACTACACTACACTAGACTACGCTACACTTTACCACACTACAGTACACAACACTACAGTACACTACACTAATTACACACACTACACTACACTACACTACACTAGTTACACCACACCGCAACTGCAACTTCCACTGCAACTGCAACTGCAACTACGCTACTCTAATTACACTACATTACAACTACAACTCCACTACACTACACCACAACTACAACTACAACTACAACTGCACTACGCCACACTACATCCAGCAGTTGTGGTGAGGTGACCGCTGCAACCATTGCAACCATTGCAACCACTCAAAAAAAAACACAACTCCAACCACCTTTCGGTCCATGAGTGGATTCGCTCTGTCATCCGTGATTCACAACAACCAACCTCTCCTATAGGTTTCCTATTTTTGAAACTTCCGCCACTGCCTTGTGCGGTACTACTGGTATATGTATAGGTACCGTATGTTAGGTATATGTGGATGGTGAGTCCCTGTCTGGGCGCATTTCTTTTCACTGAGCCATCCAGCATTTTGATGCCATGCCTCCTGGATCTTTGGGAGGAGTTGTTCTTCAAGGAATCGATCTGCCGAGAGTGCTGTCCAGTCAGAGCTGCTCTCCGCGCTCTCCGAGCTCTCCGACATCCATCTTGCTTCACTTGCTTCGAGTGATTGGTCAAGCAGGACCAGGCCATGCGCAGGGGCCAAATGTTCAGAAAGGTCAACACAAATCGAGGACTCCAAAGCTGTTTCCAAGGTTGCCGCAGAAAGTCTACCAGTCACAACTGCCAGAGCAGATCCCACCAGGTAACGAACCATGTTGTAGAGAAAACCATCTCCCTTGATTCGAATGCACATCAACTCCTTGTCAAGGGTCTCGATAGCCTCGACCACGATGTTGAGGATATTTCTTTTGCAAGCAGCCTGCATGGCTTGGTGCACTTTGATCGTAGAGACAGGAGAGCTTTCCACATCATCCAAGGCATCCACGCCGCCTCCCATCTCTTGAATCCTGGAGCGTTTCCAGCTTTGGAGCTGGTGCGCCCACGTTTGAAGTTCTTTGTCTCGTTGGATCTTCTTCTTGAGCCCTTCGAGTTTCTTAAGCTCAGTAAAATTTGCAAAGCAATGCTCTCCACAAAAGCGTTGAAGAACTGCTTCCAAATGCTCTCTGAATGAGCTCCCCACCACATCTGATGGGAAGTAGTAACCGTACTCCCGTGTGATTCTTTGAGCGGGACTCAGCTGAACTCCGCGTGGTATCGCTATTGCACGATAAATCGAGATGTTGGAAGGCAATTCCGAGGCAATGATCTTTGCTACATCTGAATTTGGCGCTGGGGTCAGTGGAGCTGTTGTGACCTTGAAGCTTCTGGCACTAACACCTGAATCTACTCGGCTCAAAGCCACCCACTGACTCATACGCGGCCTCTGTCTGGCGCACAAGCCCAAACGCTTAACGGCTCCCAGAATTTGTCCCACAACTGTTGGACGCTGGTCTTCAGTGCCAGTCCATTGAGATCCATAATAACTGTTGTCAAAGCCAACCTCGAGGAGGAAGCTCCGGGCACACCATGCTGAAGCTGGTGCATGTGACAACCCAAGGGCTGCAGCAATGTCGTGAAGCTCCGAAGTTGTGCAACTAAGTGGCTTCAACTCTGGGCCGCCCTGCTGACATGACACATCGTCAATAAGGTCAGAAGGAAGCAAAAGACCGTTGGACAAATAGTCCCTTCCAAAATGGGAAGGTTTCACAACAAAGTCACTCTCTGCTAGCAATCCGTGCCAGCCACATCTTCTGGCCAAGTCTTCGGGGACAGTTGTACCGACTGGTATGAGAAAGGCGCTCTCTCCAGCTTGGAACTCGCCTGCCCTCACTACAACCGTCAGGGTGCACTCAAAATCAGCAAATTCAGGGTCCAAGACTGTAGCTACTTCAAAACGTCCAGAGCTTTTTGTATGCTCCGTGACCGTGAGTATGGTGACGCGAAAAATCAGAGGAATCTCAGTGCGACTTCCGCCACTTTCGGTTGAGTTTCTTGCCGTCGATCCAGCAGCTCTGGCAGCTGGACGCCTTGCAGCGTGAATAACATGAATACCATTCAAACGGGGAAGCACATTCTCCCGGTCACTCATTTTTTGCATCTTCCTCATTCTCCTAGAGGAACTTGCGGCTGCAAAAACAGTTGCCATCGTGAGCATCACTCCTGTCAAAGTTGCGCTCTCTGATCGATGGATCTGGTCCGTATAGTTCGCAACGCTAGAGCGCCCAAATGCACAACTTTTGCGGTGAAGTGCAAGGTGAGGGTTTGGGATATATTTTCGAGCTGGCAGTTGTTCCATGATCAATCAAGACCATTCAAACTTCTTGCGCAGCGTGAGGTGATGCGCTTGGGTAGTACTTAGGAGCCGAGGCTGCCGAAGAATCATGTATGGTGGTTAGGGTCACCGCTTGAGCCTGTTCGAAATCCCAACACCTCACAAAAAGTGTTCTCAGTCTCCACCTGGCGTTGATAAGCCATGCTACCTTTCTTTTTGGTGGGCCCAGGAGCAGTTTGAGATTTGTTATGGCTGAGCTGCGGCAAAGTGGCAGATCACAGAGAAGGACGCATCCAGTGATCCCAACTGCCACCAAGGCAATTGTGTGGACCTTAGCGTCGCGTGCTTGAGGTCAATTGAGTACACGATTACATGGAACCACCAACAAGCTTGAGCCTCTGACAAAGTGTTGAATCTGAATTTCCAAGGACGACTTTGGCGGGCCTCTCCTCATTGTATTGGCGATCTGTCCTCCGCAAGAAGGCAAGAAACTGTAAACTTTAAAAATCTAGATATATATATATAACCAGTGTATATTATACATCTATATATGCTGATTTTTTTTACTACATACATAGACTGTTTTGAAAAGATTTGTGTGTATGCGCATATAAATATGCATAAGACTATACAGATACCTACAATCATACATTACATTACATTTACATTTACATTTACATTACATTACATACATAAATATACATAAACATACATAAACATACATGAACATACATACAAAAACACGCATAAAGATACATAACCATATATAACCATACATAACCATACATACATAACCATACATACATAACCATACATACATAACCATACATACATAACCATACATACATAACCATACATACATAACCATACATACATAAGCATACATACATAACCATAGATACATTACATAACCATACATACATTACATAACCATACATACATTACATAACCATACATACATTACATAACCATACATACATTACATAACCATACATACATTACATAACCATACATACATTACATAACCATACATACATTAACATAACCATACATACATTAACATAACCATACATACATTACATAACCATACATACATTACATAACCATACATACATTACATAACCATACATACATAACCTAACCATACATAACATAACCTAACCATACATACATTACATAACCATACATACATTACATAACCATACATACATTACATAACCATACATACATTACATAACCATACATACATTACATAACCATACATACATTACATAACCATACATACATTACATAACCATACATACATTACATAACCATACATACATTACATAACCATACATACATAACATAACCATACATAACATAACCTAACCATACATAACCTACATAACCTAACCATACATACATCACCTAACCATACATACATAACCTAACCATACATACATAACATAAACATACATACATAACATAACCATACATACATAACCTAACCATACATACATAACCTAACCATACATACATAACCTAACCATACATACATAACCTAACCATACATTACATACATAACCTAACCATACATACATAACCTAACCATACATAACCATACATACATAACCATACATACATAACCATACATACATAACCATACATACATAACCATACATACATAACCATACATACATAACCATACATACATAACCATACATACATAACCATACATACATAACCATACATACATAACCATACATACATAAACATACATACATAAACATACATACGTAAACATACATACATAAACATACATACATAAACATACATTACATGCATTACATGCATTACATACATTACATACATTACATACATTACATACATTACATACATTACATACAGTACATACATTACATACATTACATACATTACATACATTACATACATTACATACATTACATACATTACATACATTACATACATTACATACATTAAATACATTACATACATTACATACATTACATACATTACATACATTACATACATTATATACATACATACATACATACATTACATACATTACATACATTACATACATTACATACATTACATGCATTACATACATACATGCATTACATACATACATACATTACATACATTACATACATTACATACATTACATACATTACATACATTACATACATACATTACATACATACATTAATTACATACATTAATTACATACATTACATACATACATACATTACATACATTACATTACATACATACATACATACCATACTTTACATACATTACATACATTACATACATTACATACATTACATACATTACATACATTACATACATTACATACATTACATACATTACATACATTACATACATTACATACATTACATACATTACATACATTACATCCATTACATCCATACATTACATTACATACATTACATACATTACATACATTACATACATTACATACATTACATACATTACATACATTACATACATTACATACATTACATACATTACATACATTACATACATTACATACATTACATACATTACCTACATACCTACATACATTACCTACATTACCTACATTACCTACATTACCTACATTACCTACATTACCTACATTACCTACATTACCTACATTACCTACATTACCTACATTACCTACATTACCTACATTACCTACATGACCTACATGACCTACATGACCTACATGACTTACATGACCTACATGACCTACATGACCTACATGACCTACATGACCTACATGACCTACATGACCTACATGACCTACATGACCTACATGACCTACATGACCTACATGACATACGTTACATACGTTACATACGTTACATACATTACATACATTACATACATTACATACATTACATACATTACATACATTACATACATTACATACATTACATAACATTGCATAACATTACATAACATTACATAACATAACATAACATAACATTACATTACATACATACATACATGCATACATCCATGCATGCATGCATAACATAACATAGCATAACATAACATAACATAACACAACATAACATAACATAACATAACATGCATACATACATAGTGACATGACATGACATGACTTGACATGACATGACATCACATGACATCACATGACATCACATGACATCACATGACATCACATGACATGACATCACATCACATCACATCACATCCAGCCACTCTGGCAGAGCGGCTGAGTGGCTGAGTGGCTGCACCAAGCCACTGTGGCAGAATGTCTCAGAGGGTGAATAGCTAGTGCAGCTTAGCCAATGGAGTGTAAGCAGTATTACCCAGACCTAATTTTTCTTAGGTCTGGGTAGTTTTTTCAAGTGAGGATTTATGCTAATTTAGGGTTTCTTCCTTTATCTTGTAGGCACTGGGGCATATATTCTTATTGATTGAATGGAATTGTATGCAAACATCTGTGTTATGTGAGAAAGAAGTCATTAGCCATTTGTGTTAAAGGGGTTCGCTCTGTGGGTCTCTGCGGATCAGTGCACTTTCTACTCTCCATACTATAAGGTACTATCCTTTTAAGTGTATTTCCTTATATCAAAAAATTTCATCCAAATCTTTTCCCAAATATCATCATAGATTTCATTTAACTTTTTTCTATTCCTTTCCCTCTTCTGTATCTTTACCTCCTACTCTTTTGCGTATCTGCAAAAAGATATTGTATTTGAAAATTATGTCAATGCAATTGTCAACATACTCCTCTCCATTTTGGTTGTTGGTGAAGGGCTCTATGCTTGGAAGTTGTTTGACATCACGTGCACCTATTACAATCAAATGAGGGTTTTCATTGCAGAAGAGTCTTATCTTATTCAAGATATAAGGATTACATCAAAACCGTTGTAATCATACTTTGGTAGCCTGCTTTCCCCCTTACACACAGGAACACTGAAGAATGTATTTTGGGTGACTGCATCGCATGGAACATCTTGCTTTTGCATATTGTGAGGAACAACAAAAAGTGCATTATAACCTACAGTAGGTCGTTGAAATGTTTTCCAATGAAACTCTTACCACTCTGTGTCCCATTCATCTTGAACCTCAATCCTTTCGCTTTTGTAAATCGGTATTTTTGGAATCTCATTGTGTTTTCATCCATAGACTTCGGGAACAGGAACAACTTTCTTATCTTCCACTCTTCAGCCTCCTATGTCATTATGAAAATTCAATGTCTTTTTAGCTTTCTTTAAATCCCTCTTTGCTATGTGAAAGGCATCAGTCTTTACAGCGTAAACATTGATGTTTGCCTCCTTCAACTTCTCATATGCATCATACATATGAAAGTATGATTTTGTAACAGTAGCTCTTTGATATACCTAAATCCGTTCATCAACTGCCTTTGGTCACTGACACTGACTATATTATATTTGGCGGTCTCGCGTTTCTTCTCTATCTTTTGGTTGAATGAATCATTTTCACAGTATTAGGTTTTGCCATCCTCGATGTTAGAATCAAAATCTGTAAAACACGCACCGCCATTCACATGTCTAAAAAAAGGTTTGTTGTTCTCATCAACTTCGATAGTCCAATCTTCTTCTAATTCTCTCCATCTAAAGTAATGTTGGCTGCATAATAGTAAATCCCCCCTAAATAAAATAATTTTGATTTTTTTGGGGGGTGGTCAGCATTCCAATAGTAAATTTTTGGAACCCTTTGGCTGGGATCATGATATGTATCTGATAGATTCTCCATGGTTTTGTTGGGTTTCTGATGGATTCTGAATGGATTTGGTTGGGTTTCTGATAGATAGAGTATGGATTTTGCATGGATTAGGGCCAGGGTTAGTTTCTGTTAGATTCTGCATGTTGGGGTTTTGGGTTTCTGAAGTTCTTCTTGGAATCTGTCTGGACAAGGTCAGAACATGAGTTTTTTGGCAATACTAAAAGTAAATGGAGCTAATTGACTTTTAGTATTGGAGATAAAACTGGAGTTGCGGAAAAAAAGTTTCTACTATTGACAAGATATCAAGCTTGTCATGTCATCACTAATCACTGTTTTATATAAATCTTCAACCGCTTTCTTATACTTCACTCTGTGAATGTATGAAGGTACTTTGTAAAATAATATCTTCATTGCCACCCCTCTCCTAATCAATTCCTTCAGGTGCTTCCTTTACACCCGATTATCTTTTTGTTAAAAAACAAATGTTGCCCTGACATGCCCTCACTATGAACAAAGTGTAGTTATTGACTTTGTTAAAATCATTTTTTTGGTGTATGGCTTCCATACATCAAAATCGTTGAACACTGGAATGTGTGTAATCTTTGTTGCTTGGTATGAGTAGGCTTTCCGTGTGTCGATGCTACACATATCTTCAGGGGCAAGGACAGGTTCATAGCCCTTGCTATCATAGTCTTTTGCCTTTAACAACCTTCCATTAGGAACAATGGTTCTGCATTCATCCAATGCTTTAAGGTCAGTTTCGTTATAGTATGACTTATGATTTTCACTCAAAACTAACTCATGAAACTTGAACATTGTCGCGCTGACTTTTTTGTTGCATTATTCCTCTGTTTCCACCAAAATATCATCATTGATTCTATCATGGTCACGGTGCTGTGTTACGATGCTGTGGGTTACCGTTTTCTGTTTCTTGCCTATCTTGTGTGTTAAATCAAACTTGATTTCTTCTGTCCTAGCTGCTGTGTGCCTAACCTGTGGTTCATATCCTGCTCTTTTCATTTCATAAATTGCTTTGTGCAAATCATTGACTTTTAAAAACTAATCTGTATTCCTCTTCATCCTTTAGACTCATCACATCATCGATACCATCAATCATTTTGTATTTAAAAGGTTCTTCTCTGCTGTTGATGTAATAGTTGTCTCCAATCCTGAACTTGTAGAGTTCATCAACACTTTCTTTCCTTTTAAGTGATTTCAGGTTATAGTTCAAAGTGTATATGCGGCTGTTCTTAATCAATACGTTGAAAGTTATGTAGCTATGGCAGTTGAAGTTTGCAGGGTTATGTTTGTATATAAATCAAGTTGCTGTCATTATCATATATAATCTTGCTTGGGTATTGAAATGTTTATAAACTTTATCCATTTCATTGGCTGATGACTCTGCCGCAGCCACTCAGCCACTCAGCCGCTCTGCCAGAGTGGCTGGAGCAGCCACTCAGCCACTCTGCCAGAGCAGCCACTCAGCCACTCTGCCAGACTGGCTGGAGGAGCCACTCAGCCACTCAGCCAGTCTGCCAGAGTGGCTGGAGCAGCCACTCAGCCACTCAGTCACTCAGAGTGGCTGAGTGGCTGAGTGGCTGCGTCAGCCACTCTGGCAGAGTGGCTGAGTGGCTGAGTGGCTGGGGTGAAAATTTCCACCATTGCGCGTTCAATCTTACATTACATTACCATCACCATCACCATTACCGTTACCCATTACCATTACCATACATTACCATTACCATTACCATAGTACCATACATTACCATACATTACCATACATGACCATACATTACCATTACCATTACCATTACCATACATTCCCATACATTACAATACATTACAATACATTACATTACATACATACATTACACACACACACACGCGCACGCACACACATGTATTTATATATATATATATACAGTATATTTATTTCTTTATTTATTTATTTATTTATCTACTTATTTGTTCATATATATCATCGCCATCACTGATCACCACTAGCATTAATCCAACCAAGCGAATTGGAACTCTGAGCGCACCTAGGAAGGTGCGATCACCGGTCGCATACACAATGCAGGTCGCAGACCCTTTCAGAATCAAAGTCCCCGAGAATGCCAAACAGCGCGCCTGGTGCGCAGAGTTTGGAAACAAGTTTGCAAAATCAAGACCATCAAAAATAGAACAATAGATGCGCAAGAAACTTACCAATTGGTGAATATATATATATATATATATCAACTCAAGGCTTCGGACTTTTCCATTCGCTGTTTATGCTAGGTGCACAGGGTCTGCTTCGAGATTGGCCTTTGTTGAAAGGCAGCCAGTCATAGGTCCAAAGGTCCATGCGTAGAGCTGCCAACAGTCAATGAGAAGCTGACCAAAAAGAACCTTTCCCGGAAATGGGTGGGCGCGGAACTGGGAGAGCTTGAGAGGAAAGTACATCAGCCAACGTAGATATTGTCATCAACTCAAGGCTTCGGACTTTTCCATTCGCTGTTTATGCTAGGTGCACAGGGTCTGCTTCGAGATTGGCCTTTGTTGAAAGGCAGCCAGTCATAGGTCCAAAGGTCCATGAGTAGAGCTGCCAACAGTCAATGAGAAGCTGACCAAAAAGAACCTGCCCATTTCTTTGCCCATTTCCTCCAAGGTCACTGTCTCCGGGAAAGGATAGTAAACCAAGTGCTTTCAGGGATCTTTGCAGCTGCTAGTTTGGATGCTTGTTCAAAAACCGCCAGAAAAAAGCTCGAAACTGTGACTATACGGTTGCGGACATGAGGGCGTATGAGGGACATGTATTGCAAGGCCATAGTCTCCTGCACATATACTTCCATCATGCGATGATTCGCCCAACGTCCTCTCCTCCTGCAAAGCTCGCTATTTTCAGTCATCAGAATAATATATGTAGCTCCTCCAGATCGCAGGCTCCCTAGGTCCAAACACCTATTGCCAGGTACGCTCACAGTAGACAAAGTGAGCGCTGTTAAAACAGATTTAAACCTGCTCCGCAGAGTCTGCGCACTGTAGGGCCAGAGCTTCTCATGAGGCCGCAAATCAGAAAAAGCAAAACTAAGCAGCTGTACTAAATCTTCACTGTCAATCTTTGTGGATTGATGTCTTGCATATGTAAACCTGGACTTGGGTTCCTTGATACTCATCAAAGCAAAGGGAACAGAAAAACCAGTGTCGATGGGGAGTAATAGGTCTTCCCTCTTAGCCGCCACCAGTTCGCCAGGGCGGAGCAGGCCGCCAAAGCCTAGAGCGATGATGCCGCAGAAGCGCCTCCAGCCCCACATTAGTCCTGTAACCAGCATACTCAAGAGAATTGGCACTGGCATCGGTATATGATGTTGTGAAGGCTCTTGTTTTGACCAAGAGAACCCAAGATCCCAAGCCGCAGTCATGAGTCGCCTTAAACCAGGCTTCTTGCTAACCAGGCAGTTTATGGTCTCAGCGTATTGGTTGTATGACTTGCCAGCACGATACAGGGTTCGCCCATACTTAACCAGGACAAAGTTTATCTCTTCGATGTTCGCATGGTAAAGTTCCAGTGCTTGCTCAAAGCCGTACCCATTCTCAGTCGTCCAAGCTATCAAAGCTTGCCAGTACTTCTCCCGCAGATTCAAGGTTGCGTCTGTAACAGGTCTTCCAGAGGCCAAATCAGGTCTAAGACTTCTTTCGAACACCCTTCTGGTCTCCGCAGGTGTTCTAGGGTTGATTGGCATGGCTCCGGCACAGTCGATACTACAAAGCAGCCCCAGCAGCAGAAGAGGAAGCACCCTAGGACGCAGAGGGGGACAGCACGCATAGGACCCACAGGGGGGGGGCGACAGTCAAACCAATAGGATCCCGAAAACTCCAACGCCGGGATCTGGCTGGCACATGCAAGACCTGAAACCAAGTCCACAAGATGACAAATGAAGCTCCCAAGGCTCGGCTTAGCAGGATAAACATAGAAGACAAGACAAAGAAAGGCTGAGGGCCTTCACCAGGGTAGCCCAAGGTGGCATCGAAATCAAGTGCATCATGGGGACACGCATGGCACGGGGCATCTTTAATAGGAAGGGGCAAGCGATACACTGCACGGTTGGCAAAGTGCAGGGCTTTTAGTCCTAGGACCCTCAGGATTAGGCGAGCCCAATTTGAAGCCCACTTCCTAAGCTTGGGAAAGGCAGCCAGGTCAAAGAGTTCATCCCTGGACATTGCAGATGCTCCGAGCCCTTCTATTGGACTGCGCAAGGGGCAGTCACGTGTTGGGTCATCTGCTGCGTTCAAGCGCGTTGGACAGAAAGGGATATTCAAATAGATCCCTGCGGCTGTAATCAAAGCACATACCCGCCTGAGGATGGAAGAGAGACCCAAGGAACTGCTTCTGCCCTTAGAAGTCGCGCACTTAACTACATTGGAATCGACCATAACACTAATCCTCTTAGGTACCCCTAGTTTGGCTATGTCGTTGCATAGTTTTAGGAGTGATGATTCTTCCAATATGTTAATGTGGCTCCTGCGTCTGAAAGTCCACTGTCTCGATACCTTCCATGGCAGGCTCTGCATTAGATCATTGACAAGCTGACTCTCAAGTCCCGCTGTAGGTCCTTGTTCAAGCTGTCGAGCAGCCTCTTTCCTAGCCTGGATAGATTCAGCAAAAATGGTCGCAAGGGCGAATGCAAGTTCATCTGTGTAAGTGGCGGACACCTTAGTAAACTTACCTTGGACCTGCAGATGTCTCTCCAGGCATTTACAGCGCTTTCTGACGGCCGCCAGGTCAACGTTGACCCCAAGGAATCTGAAACTCTTCAAATGGTGCGATGCAAATTGACAAGAGTCACACCTCACCTCCTGGCTGTTCGGAAGGCGTTTAACCGTTTGCCACGCTGGTAACCATTTCATGTATGAAGAGTATGGTGTCTCAGATATTCCCGCAGCATCATGTCTGGCGCCGACGTACATCAGCTGCATGGACCTACAGGCAAGTTGAGTTCCTGCAGATGTCTGATCATCCTCGGGATCAAAACCAAACGGAGATTCTGCCGATCTGAGCCTAGGCCTGCGCATGATGCTGAATGTTGTGCAAGGAGGGCTAAGGAAAAAGGCAAGTAGCTTCCCGTCCACAACCATACTTGTGAGCCATGCGATTACGTGTACCCTTGTAAGGTCATACTCAGCGCTGATGCTCAAGTCCAGAGGTGGTCCACAAACAAAACCCATTTCCTTCAGAAAAGCCGTGATCTTACTGGCTCCAGAAAAGACCTCAATAAAATCGTAAACACAGGCAAGGGGCCTAGCGATCTGATGTTGCTCCGGAGCAGGGTTCTCATGTTCCTCCAAAGCATCGAGATTCTTGAGGAGGCTTTCAAGTGGAGTCAACAGCCGTGTGTAGGCCCCCTTCGAGCGGGACGTCTTCCAGAGAACCTCAGCTACATCACGCGTCACAGGGGCTGATAGAATTGCTCCTTTGAAACTCGAGGCATCAGTGCAAAAAACCCTATGCTCGAAATCAGTGGCAATGTCCGTGGAGACCATTGGCATCAGCACTGCAAGCAAAACAAGCTCATCTGCAGTCTTCCTGGGCAGAGCAATGATCCTAGGGTTATCCCTGTCAAAGGAATCCATATCGACCATCTTGAAACACCTTGAGAGCACCGACATCAAAGGTCTTCGGTACGTCAGGCAAGACACCCAGCCTCCAACCAGGCACAGATGTAGCGCATCGCTAGTGTAAGGAAGTTGCGCCAGAAGGACCGAGAGATATGCAAGTCCCAGACGCTTCGCAATGGGTGCTGCAACTGTAACCATACCATGCTGGGCTGCGCGGTCGCTTCCATTCAAGTAGGCACCTATAACCCTGCCTTCCTCAACGTCAACAAGGTCCTTATGTGGTGATCCCAAAAGCCCATATTTCTGATATGCCTGGTTTGCCACATCATAGTTTCTCTTTGAGCACGTAACACCTGTCTGCTCATGGGGTGTTATAGCCACAGAAAAATAGTCATCGATAACCAAGCCTTCAGCAAGATGCTCAGAAACAAGGGGCTTGTTGGCTACCATGTTACTGGAGGACCGTAGGAGTCCATGCTGTTGGAGGAGGGATGTATGAGCTGCCGTTGCTATATCTACTCCACAGTGATCTCCTTGTAGAATGGAGGAGAAACTCACCCAGAGGCACCCTTCAGGAGGCAGCTCATAGCCAGTATCATCTCGCATGTAGAGCTCGTCCCCATAGGTCCCTCTTGGCTGCTTCCTCTGAGCCTCTTTCAAAAAAAAAGCGCTGTAGGCGCCAGTCTCTGTGAGCATCTCCATGGGAACTGCAGGGCCGATGGTGTTACTGATGGCTCTGGCCTGTGTGGCATGGATCTGGTGGTAAAAATCCTTGCGGTCTGTAATGCTGATGGCTAAACGATGTGTGTTGGGATTGATATACAACTCCGTGAAATCACAACCATTCGGCAAATTGCGACTAGGGCCGACCACTATTGACTCTCGGGCATTCTGCCCTCGCCTGTCCCCAATCTGACGGTGGACCTTGGTGTCCTTCATCGCGCCAAAAATCCTAACCAAACCATCCGAGTGCACAGGTTTGCGGTGGAGATAAAGAAGCCCCAAGTCATCCCATTTTTTGGCAAGTTTGGCTAGAGTGGTAGGACTATCCCTTATATTAGGACCAGAGGGTACGTCATAACCATGCAGCAAGGACCTAGGCTCACGATAGGCCATCACTAAATCATCAGGCAAAAATTCCGTCACATCCCAGGTTCCTTTTCCAAAAAGTAGAAGCTTCTCAGGATCCATATCTTGGTAAGGTTTTGCTTCTGGGGCCGGCTCGCCCTTGGGCACCTCAAAACCCTGGTATGTCTTGTCATAGGGGCTGGCAGAAACACCAAGTCTCGTAAGCATGTCTGTCAGCTCATCCAAACGTGCAATCAATTCAGGGAAACGACGCCCGGCTTTAGGCACATTGTCCAAGAAAGCAGGGCCCTCCGACTCCATCAGAGACCTAAGGCGTCGATAAAGTTCCACATGACACTTGTTAGGCCTCCTCCTCAAAAACTGGACGTCACCAAACCTACCACCACTGTACCAGTAGTTCAAAGCAGCAACAATGGTATGGACAGCCTGGGACATGTGCCTAGCAGCTAAAGCACCTTCCATCTTACTTGAGGGCATCCGTCCAAAAAGTCCAAGAGTTGGAAGCGGGACAGGAAAGAAAGTCGAAGTCATCTGATCCAAACGAGGAAGATGAGACAGTCGAATGGTTGTGGCTAAAAAGGCTGCAAAAGGGGTCCTTGTCTTCAGCACTAAGGGAACAAGCTTCGACCTCCACTTGGGAAAATCCAGGCTCTCGGCGCGAAGACCAGGAGGATGCTGGTCTCTGCAGAAATCACTGCGTTCGGGCGTAACTATGCTTGGAACATTGTCGCACCTACTTGCATCTAAACTATCACTCACAGCATCATGAATTATATGCTCTAGTGGGGATTGGGCTGCATGGCCCCTAGGAACTTCAAAAGCAGCAGCATGCATGTTGGGCGCATTCTGGCTACCTGTGCATCTGGAATCAGTTATGCACGGCGAAGGGACGGCCCTCCGCAGGCACTTCACGTTCCGCTGGAAGGGGAGGCTTCGCCTCCTGCTTTCGGCTTCTTCGGGAATTTGGGTCGCCTCTTGGGCGAGGGAGGACCCGGCTCCTCTGCTTTGGCTGCAACTTTGGGTTTTCCGGCTTCGGCCTTCTTCGTTGTCAACAGGTCCAACTCTTTGAGAAAAGCTAGGGAAACTGCCGACCATGTCGGAGGCACAAGCGCTGCGAAAGGCTTCCCCAGGGAGGAGACTGCAGCTGTCTTTTCGGAAAACACCTGGGATGGTGGCTCCTCCAGGAGGGACAGGACATATGCTAGATTCCAGTTCCCCCCATCCACCACGCTCTGTTCTATGCAGGCAACAGTCAGGGCAAGATACTCTTTGCAGAGTCTGTCGTCGCCGCTGGCGGCTGCGTCCATTGCGTGTCCTAACATCCACATGATCATGGCTGTCTCTGCACGATTCTTGTAGCCGCCGAACTTCTCCAGGTACCCGCATAGAGTGGCACCTGTATTCACCAGCTCGTTCTCGTCCTTGGGCAAAGGGCGAGAAGGGAACATGCGTTTGTGGATCTGTTGCTGTACCTGCACAAAGAAATTCGAGCTGCCGTTGGCAAGTTCCTGCTGCATCTTTTCTCGCCGCATCACGCCTTTGGTATGCAAGCCGTGACTGGATGAGGCGCTGCTGCTTAGCTCTGTCAAGGCATCGCCCGAGGTCAGGTGGGCAACCAAGCTGGTGATCGCCTGGGATTGCTGCATCAAGGCCTGGGAAAACCCCTGAGCCTCTGGAGGACCTTCGACATTCAGAACAGCGTTTGGCACGCCTGCATCTACAGCACCTGCGGCAGCCGCAGGAGGCTTGGATTTGGGCGGAGGCCTCAGCAAGTTTCCCAACTTCGGCAACCCCGACGGTAAGGCCTGCTGAAGACCTGCGGACACACTTGGCAACTTTGCTGGCATGGAGGCCCCAAAAACGGGCCCGGGTGCAGGAGTGGCAGAAGTCCCCTGATTCATCTCTAGGATGGTCTGCTGTTGCAAGGCAAGGGCTTTCACCTGAGTTGAAAAAAAAACTGTATGTAAATCCTTATCCCAACAGCAAATCATGTGATTTCCAAGCGGCGGTCTTCATATTTATGTCTCGGCGCTTGATTCTGAACTGTTTGAACTAGAGCTTGTTGCATCTACATCAGAGCTGCTTTCAGCTACATCATATCCGTATATATCCGTAGAGAAAGTTTCGTTCAGCAGTTTCTTTTTCAGGGAACAGCATCTTTTTCACAATCCCATGGCGGGGCCATTTTGAAACATGGCAGAAAAGTTTGACAGTGTTACTGGGAAAGTTCACCCATCCGTGGAACAGATTGCTATCAGGTCAATGACTTGGAACGCAGCGCACATGGGATGAATGGTCTGCGGCCTCCGGGTTTTTGTGGGCAATTGGTCATTCTGACTGAAATCCTGATGTCGTTCAGAGGTCGTTCAAAGGTCGTTCTGAGGTCGTTTGGGAGCCGAGAAAAATTGCTAAATAATGACCCTTGAATACACAATAATTATACAATCTGAAAATCATATCTCTGTCTGAATTCCCCGGAACGGGTAGGGTCCTCTGTGTTTCTACTGGACGTGCAATTCTTGGGTGCGCCCAGGATAAATTCCTTATACAATGGCCCTATCTCCAGACATTTTTTTGTGCACGGGAAGAGTCTTGGGCTCGTAAAAACATGGTTCTAGAGGGAAACCGCTCAGGCTAGGGTCTTGTTGCAGAGATTACAAAGACCGTGCCAGATGCAATTTGCTAGCCCCAAAAAATGCATTTAGGGTGGTTCCGGGTGTAATTTGGCTGCTGATTTGTTCTACATGCATCTAGACCTGTATATAAATACATGTAAATATATACTTATATAACTTATATACGTATGTTTAGGAGGTCGTTCCAATGTCGTTCTGGATGTCGTTCAGAGGGTCGTTCCCCAACTAAATGGCACATTCCAAAATTACCAAAAACATTAGAAATAGCTGCGGCGGTGCCTGGAATTCTGAACGAAGGATCGCACAATACTACTTTAAATTAACCACCTTTTTTTTTTGGCTCACCTAGGCAGCAAGGTCTGCGACCGTATCGGCCAGAGCGGCATTGGTGATCTTCCTTGCACCGGCCCTCTTTGGAGCCGCCTTCGAGCTGGGCAGAGGTGGAGGCGCATTGGACTCTTCTCGCTCTTCTCGAGCCGTATAAAAATTCAGCCTGGCAATGCCATCTACTTCAGTGACCCATGCAACTATGTTGGCAATGACAGCGGAAACATCGACGATGGCAAGAGGTCTCTCTTTTACATAAGGCAAAATCTCACCGCTGGGGTCAATGACAGGATCATACTCGCGGAGCATGGTCAGGACACCATCGGTGACGTCAATCACACAAAATGGGGCGTCAACGCCCACAGGTACCTCAAGACCGGACTCGTCTTCCTCCAACAAGGGCGCCACAAAGTCACGGGAAGGGCCAAGGATGTCGGCATCCTCGGCAGCACTGGCATCGAGCAAAGCATCATTCGAAAGAAAACCATCAGGCACTGCTAGGAGCATGCCACCTTCTCGGGGCAACACAGGAATGGCCATGCATGAATTAGGAACATTCACATTCACATGCTCTTGAGGAAGAGTAAAAACCAAAAGCAGGCTGTCATCCCCTCTACCTACGAACTTCAACTGCTCTCTACTCAACATCGCTTCAAAGGAGGAATCTCAACCGAAGCACCCAGGCAAAAGGCTTCGACTTCAGCCAACGAATCCAATACCGCAAAAACAAGCAGTCTATCCGCAGGATCGACCAGGTTGTCGAAATCGCGACGTGTGGTGGTGCGGAAAGGCAAGGAATCACAGCTCCTGAGCACAACCCAATGATTCACACGGAGTCCAGGCACCTGAATCTGGTTATATGCTGTGTTTGTGCTGATGGAGACAGAGGCCCAAAAACCTGCCCGGTATGCCACACAAGCACGTTCTTCTGGCCCTGGAGGCTTCGAAGACAGTTTCTCCTTGCAGAAATCAATCACAAAAGCAGGTACCACCCCAGGCCCCTCTTCAGGTCCACGGAACCGCAGCAGAGCAATCTGACTGACAAAGTGTTCGGGAAAAGGGACCCGAGCAGATTCAACAATCACCCCAGGGCTGCGTGGCGGTGGAGGGGGCACCTCGAAAATCCGGGTCTGCAGCTGGTCAGCTAGGCGATCTGTGGCTATGGTCAGGCGTTCAACCGCGGCAGTCAGAGCCCGGATGCTCGCCTCACTCATGCAAGTAGCCTGACAGGCGAGACCTGCTTCTAAGTGTAGCAGATTCTGGAGGAGGAGCAGGTGAAGCACGTTGGGAAGGGAAAGGCTGAAATCGAGGGAGCAGCAGGAAACAGAGGTACAGGGCAAGCGAAAGTCCAAAAAGGCACCCAAAGGCAAATCCACACAGTAGGGGGAGAAGCCAGGAAGAACCACAATGGAAAGGACAAGCAAAGCCCGCAGACAGCTCCCTCAGCAATCCAGCCGCAGACAGCACCCTCTCTACCCACATAGAGCTTGAGAGGAAAGTACATCAGCCAACGTAGATATTGTCATATATAAAAATGAAAGAGAGAATGACACCACAATGGGGGCCACCGACCAAAATCATCAATATGCCAATATGCCATGAGACACCTGGTAGATGGCACAGTGCCTGCCTTTACTGTGACAAATCTATATTTCCTGATATTGATCACAAAGGGAAATGTGCATCGCAATATCGCAACAATGTGGGCTCAACATGGCCCAACCCATGAAGAATGAAGGAATTGACAAAGTGAAGTAGAAGCCTAGATAGCTCAGTTGTGAAATAGTTTCCAGCATAGGGGAAAGATCCGGGAAAAGGTCAATTGAATGCACCAATCAAAGCAAAACCCCTTGTTTGGCTATGTTGGAAGTGAACTATGGCCGCACAATCTTGTTTGCCAAAACCTTAATTCTGACCGATATGTGGCGCAACTCAAGCTTCTTCCAGGTCATCAATGTTCCGCATACACAACACACATTCACATAGACCTACGTGCGCATGTGTATTTGTGTGTGTGCGTGTGTGTGCCAGGACATGGGGTATTTTTTGCGGGCGGGCTATGTAAATGACGGGCACGGAATCGCTTGGGTGCAGCTCAACTACTCGTGGAAACAGGCAGTTGAGGTCGTTTGTTAATGGGTGCATGTGCATGTGGTCGCTAGGTTGCTGCCAGGTTTTTGCTGCGGTCCCAGAGGGCTCGACATCGCCTGTCAGCTTGTGTCAAAATAGGCTCACCACATGGGGTTTCAAGCATATGACAATATCCTTTCGCTTCACCAAAACCAAGGGGTGGGAGTGGGTGTCATGTCAAGTTTGACCCTGTAATAGTGCCCAATCCATTCTTTTTGGAAAATGAGCTCCCGACCCCATGGATTTGATGGGTTTGCGTGGGAGCATGGTGTCATTCAGCTGAGAGTCGCGCAAATAATCAAGGCCTTATAATGAAAAGCCGCACACGCGCACGAAAGCGCACAAGAGGTTTACGCACTGTAGAAATTTGAAGAATGCTCAGCACAAGCCCAAATGCTCCATCTGGACGTGCTGTGCAAACGTGACTTGATACCAACAATGCACTTTGACAACACAAGGATTCTGAAGTGTTTTGATTGGAGCTTGGTCTGGAATGAGAGTCAAACACAGAAAGGCCTCAAACAAATGGTCAGAACTGTTTCACAAAGCATATAAGCCCCACCCCATCTTCCGGCTTTCGGTTATACACGCGCATCCGGTTACAGTAAGTACAAATTCCAACGCTCTGCATACAACCTATGGCAGAAATCCTTTGGACGAGTTGAATCGACTTCTCACTTAGTTTTACTTCATCTTTAATTCATCTTACTTCAATTCTGCACGCCTCTGTGCTCACAATGGTGGCTGGCTCGGCTTTGGAGGTGCGCATGTCTGGAATGGTCTCGCCAGTGAGGGCAGAATTGTCCACCTCCAAATTGCTGCAGTGCAGAATCCGGACATCAGCTGGTATCCGGCACCCAGCTTCCAGGAAAATGATGTCACCAGTGACGAGCTCTTCTGGAGAAATGGACAAGTCAGACCTTTGCCCAGAATCTGTTCGTGTCACTTGTACGGATTCTCCAACTTGAAGACTTCGCAAGGCTTCCATGGAGGACTGTGCTTTTAGCTCGGTGTACAGTTGCAGCATAGCTGTTGCTAGGATCACACTTGAGAGGATCACTGGTGTGACCATCTCCTTCTGTCCCGGATACACGAAGTAAAGAATGACCTCAGAGGGACAGGGACGAAGCAAAGACTCTGGGGACTGGGAATTCTTTGTTTCAAGTGCTTCCAGCTTCGTGCCTGGGCAGAAACGCACAACCACAAGAGGTTGTTAAGGAGGCCAGTGAATGCCGTCCTCCATTGCACAGGAAATGCTGCAAATGAGAAGATGGTAAAGACGGGTAGTAACTATCGATAAAAAAGCAAACCGCCTGCCAATCACCAAGAACAAGTTGACTTGACTGCAAATGACTGCAAATGTCCTCAAGAACTTGTAGACAACACTCTCAACCTCTGGTGGCGTAAGCTCATTGGGGCCATCCTGGACATCAAATCGCACTAAGTCACTAAGTCTCACACGCTTCACACAGGCCCATCATGGCCCATCCAAACAGCGCAGAAAAAGTATCGCGCCTGTTGCAGGCGCCTCTCTGCTTCAGAGTTGGCCAGGCCACAAGGCTGAAGTTGGCAGCTGGGATCCTGCACTTATCTGCACACTAGGTACATCTATACTAAAGATGTCTAAAGATCCTACACTAGGTACAGTATATTGAATGTATATTGAATGTATATTGAATGTACTGTATATTGAGTACCACTTGGTCCCGATCAGCAAGCAGATGGAATATCACTGATCACATTTCCCTGCAGCATACCCAAAACTTGGGTGACGACAAAAATGGCAAGCAATCCGAGCCACTCAATTCTCACTGCAACTAGGATTCACTTTGCAAGTCTGCGCCTCGTCACCTGGAATGCTGGTGCGAAGACGCAAAGCCAAGTCTGCCCGTTCGAGGCTGTGGATTGGAATATCCGAAGCAGCCACATCCTGCACAAAGGCATTGACAATGCGTTTAAATCATGCAGAGCCCTCAACCTGCAAAATTGGAAAGCACTTGTGTGATCACTCACACCAGCATGACTCTCGAAAGTAGTGAAGTAGTCTTATTCCAAACTAAGGACATGTCCCTGCTCATGCTTGGTATTGCACAGCGCCTCGCCACAAGAAGTCTGACGTCGTAAGTGAAGATCAAGTCTCTGCCTGGCCATGAGCAGTTCCTCTGTCGTAGCTGCAAAAATCGCGTCATTTCCCGTCATTTGGTGTTCGACTGTTGCAGCATTGCAGGCACCTGACAAGTTCCGCACTGCCGCTGAGTTCAGTACTGCTAGATCTGGGCCTGGGAAGGTGTCTGCACCATGCCAGAAAAATTAAGAAAATATCACAAACTCCTGATCCGATTGGTGTACAATCTGTGAACCCCTGCCTTGAGTCTTGGAAGCTTCTCAGTTCCACTTCACGAGTCATTGGCAAAATGACATGGCCGCCACAAACGAAAACGGTTCTCGACGGCCAATCGATTCAATGAGGCTGGATTGACTGGACTAGACTATTACTATCATCTGCCAACTGTTTCGACAGTTGAGGACAGTTCCAAGACTTTATCGGAAATGTAAGGGGAATCTGCAGGAAGCATCAAAAGTTTCAATCAGTTTGACATTCACACCTAGTGTTTCTGTGTGGGGGACGAACAGAACTCCTTTCACACCTCATCCTCAGCTCGCACCCAACATTAAACTGGAGACAACCCTGCGGGTACCGGCAGGGCTGGCTGGCAGTGTCTACATGCATCCAATGCTTGGATGGGATTGGAAGCCAAAAATAAAAACAATGCAGAGCAACTGGATGTTCCCTCCTTGAAAACAGCATGATCTGGCTCGCACAGTCCGTCTTCCTTTGGCTACTTAATCGATCCCTCCAGAATCCAGTTCACCTTGAATGCTGTACTCGCACCCACAATGACCGTTTTCACTGCCGCACTGCCTGGATCTAAAAATGTGGCACGCGAAATCTCCAAGTTCCAGAAATAGGGTCATAATCCTCAAAGATTGCACCTTTCTCTTGCGTCATCTGTGCCACCCGTTGCTTGTACCTTTGTTGGGCTCTACTGTCTGTCAAACGTCTCTGACACTTTGGCATACAGCCCTCTAACTGAACGCTGGCCGGTTTGTTCAGTCCTTGCCCAACATCTGGTTTCAAAGTTGCGTCAGGGTACACGATGATTTCGCCTGGCTGGATGGAGAGGATCTTCGAAAGATTGTCCAGCAGGCCGCGGCAGTCAGTTTTGCCGTAAAAAGTGACGTGACCAACACCTTCACGGCCAATCACAAGATCCTCTACACACCGCAACTCATCTGAACTTATGTCCCAAAGCCGTGGCTTCACATAGAGGCCTCCCAAGTCCCAATGCACTTCTGTGTCCTCCACGTGCAACCTCTCAGATCGAACTTGTTCCCTTGTCTTGTCGACTTTTGGAGCTCTCTCAGTCCCGTGTTGGAAGCGGCTCAGCTTGCCATCAGCATTTTCCAACGGCTGCAAGTGGAGCAACATAGCTGCAGCTGCAAAACACCATTGCGCCAAGGGCGCTGCTCCAGGGCACTTGTCGAGTGACTGGCTGAAAGCTGGGGCATCCAAGCGCTCCAGAAACTGATGCACTTGGGCTGACGGGCATCTAGCCGCCTCCAAAGGAGTGAACGACTTCAGTTTGTTGAGAAACTGGGAGTCCAAACGCCGCCTTGCACTGGACCAGGGCGCGTTGATGCCAAACAAACTGAGAGCTGCTTCTGCAACTTGACAAATGGCAGCAGGAGGCTGGCGGAAAGAACGAAGTTCGTGCAAATGTTTCAGCGATATGTTCTGCGCAGCAGCATCCACTTTTGCGGCTGACTGTGTAATGGCCTCAACTTGAGCTGCATCTGGCACAAAGGACTCTGAATCACAGCCCCTTTCTGTCTCCGAAGAAACCTGAGGAGGCTGTCCGTCGCCGGATTGGGATATTGATACGTTGGGGTGAAGGGTTGAAGCACTTTTCTGAGATGCATTTGTCGCATCGCTTGGTCGCCTTTCCAAAGGTCGACTTTTGACTGCGACCATGGTTTCATCACCAGCTGATGCTTGTGTGCAGTTTATTTCAACCCTCATAGTATTTGATGTATCTGTGGCCTCGATCACTGGAATGCCAAACATTCCAACAACATCCCTCAAACCTCTTTGGGAATCTTGGGATTCTGAAATCCTTTCCCGCACCTTTTCATGCACTCCAAAAGTTGTATTCTGCCCTGTCCTGTCCAATGCTTCCTGGAGGGCTGGACAAGACTTCTGCGAGCACCGGAGGCTCAGGATTTCCTGATTTCCCCTCTCTGAATTGGGAGCTGTGGCAGGCAACGATGGCGAGCAGTTCAAGTCTGCAACTGGGCCATGAATTTCATCAAACTGAGGTAACTTTCGACCAGAGCTGCTATGGCCACCTGAATTTTCTGCAAAATACCGTTTCCACACACTGTTTTTGGGGCTGCCATCTGATGCACCTCCCAGTGGAGCAAGGTCAGGAAAGCTGTTAGAAACTAATGTTTCGCTGGCATAAACGATGTACTCTGATGACTGGCTTTTTCGTACATGCAGCGGCGTCTCTCCTTGCTTGCAATCAACCACCTGGGCGACCTGGTTTCTCTCCATCAAAACATGAGAAATCCTGCGAGGCTCTACCAGCTCTACTGCATCTGCACGAGAATTCATGGCCTTTGGCACGCATTGTGCCCTAGCACTAGCAGCCTCAGGTTGCAAAACTGCTGCATTTCTGACATCCACATCAGCAGTGCAACTCAGGGCGTTCAAATGGAACCGATTTGCGGCTTGGCGCTGAAGAGGAATGGTTGGTCCTTCTGGGACAGAACGTCGGCCAGAAGCCAGACACGATGTTGATGAGGCCCTTGGAGAGAGTGATGAACTACATCTCACACGGGGGCCCATCGCAACGGCATGCGGCGTTGAAGTCAAAGTTGGCACAGAGGCAGGCCGGGGAGAGTGCATTGGAGTGCTCCACCCACATTCATCTGTCATCTGAAGGCTTGGTGGCACAGACAAACTTCTGACCCAGGCATCAGGCAATTGTGCAGGCCCAGGTGGCATCCCAAGCATCGCACGAGTGTCAATTCCTGTTTGCCATCTGTTTTCTGTTGAACCTGCGCTTGGAAACCAAGGGCGGGCACCTAAGCCCACCACGCGACCCCTGGCACCAATGCCGCTGCCACTCGTGGACACGACAGGTTCACCAAACCATGGCGCAACCGGCCTTGCCATGGCTAAACCATCCGTCTGGCAGGGAACCTGTGGTACCCCAATTATCGTCGCAAGTTTGTCTTTTGAAACATGTCCGTCAGAATAAAATATCGAAAAAAACATGTCATCCTGTAGTTGTGTTTTTTTGGGTGGGTCCCACGGCGCCCATGTCGGTTCAAAACTATATAATTTTTAACCGGCCGGTCAAATTGGCAAAAACAACGGACTGCTGCTTGTAATATGATATGACTGCACCTTCAATTTTTTCACTGTGTGAATCTGAGGTAGGCGCTGCCGCTGTGCAAACCATGGTTCACGTTTTATGATTTTTTGTGCAAAAACATGTTTCAACCAACAAGTGAAATCCATCCCTCATGCCCATCTTGCACCTGAAATTCAAACAGGTCCAAACACAGTGTTGGAATCCAAGTCACGATCGATCGGACTGTCTTTTCTGACCCGCATGGTCCAAATATGTGATCCATAGTCCAAAAACAATTTTCCCATGATGCAGTGATGGGTTTTTGGTCATGCACCAAAACTTCCCGCACGCGGCAAAGCGGGAAGTTACGAAAACGGAACGCTAAATTTCACAAAAGAAATGCCTGTTAGACTCTACCGTGTTGATTTTTTTGGGGTCAACGCTCCGCAGGCTGCACACCGTTTTCATGTTGAATGTGTTCCAATTTTCTTTGCAAAAATCAACAAACAAACTAACCAACGAACGAACGAAGCAATGAATGATCGAACAAAGCGAAACAAGACAAGACACACCACGGCACCACACCACACCACACCACGCTACCCCACCACATGGCATGCTACACCACACCAGACCAAACGACACCAGATAATCCAGCTTTGCAACCCAACAGCAGTGCAGTGAGGGATCGAAATTCAAGGCTTAAAATTTCCCGAAGGCAGTATGACCGACAAAGTGGGCGATGCAGTGAGAGACAAAGTTTGAAACAAAGTGGGGGGGGGCAAAGCTGAAGAAACAACCGCAAGACAAAATGAGAGACAAAGTGGGTGACATGATAGGAGACGAGGTGGGGGATAAACTGGCACATAAGCTGGGAGACAAAGCGGTGGACAAAGTCAGAAAAACATGGGAGACACAGTGGGAGACAAAGCTGGGACACAAGGGGACAAAAAGTGGAAGACAAATTCAAAACTGCGCGGGACCAACAGGAGGACAAGAGGGGATACACAGTGGAATAGTAGAAAACACAAAAGCCAGAGACATGCTGGCAAACAAACTGAGGACAAAGCGAGACACAGTAGAGACAAAGTGGGAGACAAGCCGGAAGACACCGCCAAAGTTTTAGAGAAAGTGGAGGCAAAGCGGGAAACAAAGTGGGAGACAAAATGAGAGACAAAATGAGAGACAAAATGGGTGACGTAGTGGAATAGTAGATGACACAAACCCCGGAGACAAGCTGGGAGACAGAGTGGGGGACAAAGTGGGAAACAAAGCCGGAGACAAAGTGAAAGAAAGAGTGGGAAACAAAGTGGAAGACGAAAGTGAGACAAAGCAGGAGCTACACTGGGAGGCAAGGTGGGAGACAAAGTGGGATGCAAGCTGGGAGACAAAGGGGGAGACAATTGAGACGCGGAAGACAATACAGAGGCGAGGGAATCCTGGCAGACAAGTGGGAAACAAGAAACCAAACAAAGAAGAAACAAAGCGGGAGACCAAGTGAGAAACAAAGCGGTGGACACAGTGGGAGCCAAAGCTGGTGAATGGAAGACACGTTTATTTGGTTGCAGCCAAATGGGATGGCCAATGGGCCTTATCATGGCCCAGCGATCGCTTTGTTTGAGTTTGTTTCAATGTATCAAAATGTCGACATCTTTTCTTTGTTGGGCAGTGGCCGCTGGGCATCGTGCCCACTCGGCGCCCAGAACCATGGCAAAAGTTTTGGTAATATCATCCCTGTGCAAAATTTCTACTGCACAATGTCAACTCATCAGCCTATGATTCCTTAAACAGTGTGTCCACACACTGAGGGGTTCTTGCGGTAGGAGTGAATGCCAAAGCTTGATCACGGTGCCCACTCTGGCCTGCGGCATTTTACCTGCAAATTTCCGTGTCAAGTTGTTTTGGTGAAATTTTGGCATGCGTTTCGAACGCGCAGGCTCGCGCAAAATGTGTGTCCGCGTTCTAGGCTCACTCTGGGCCACGGCAT